TGGCAAGTCCTGTTTTAGAGGTTCTGAGGAATGGAGCTAGAACCACCAGTTTTCAATCTCAGAGGGGAATTAGGCAAGGGGACCCACTATCCCCTTACCTTTTTGTTCTTTGAATGGAGAAGTTAATTCACTTAATCATAGATGAAGTGGAGGTGAAAAATTGGCAACCAATTAGAGCTGGCAAATCTGGTCCCCCCATCTCACATCTTATGTTTGCTGATGACATCATTCTCTTTGCTGAAGCTTCTCTAAGCCAACTTAATAAGTATAGGAAAAGTTCTCAAAGGTGTCAGACAATGTGTAAGTATAGGAAAGTCCTGCATCTACTTTTCCAAAAATGTTCCTCAGGAGGCTGTGAAGTCCATTACTGAAATTAGTGGGTTCAAAAAGGTTAATAACCTTGGCTGTTACTTGGGAGCTATGATGAGACATCAGAGAATAAACAAGAACCACTATGCTGCTGTTATTTCCAGAGTTCAGGATAGGCTACAAGGTTGGAAATCAAAATGTCTTTCTCTGGCGGGAAGAATCACTTTAGCTAAAAGTGTAATTTCAGCCATTCCTTGTTACCATATGCAGAACAATACTCTTCTAGTGCATGCTTGAGTGGGTGATAGAGAATGGTAAAACAATTTTTTTCTAGACTCACTATTGGGGAGGATGGCAATCTACTCTTTTTGAGCTTGCTTCAATCAAACCTCCTATGTCTGATCTAGACCTTAAAGTGTGTGATGTAATAGATCATAATACAGATGGTTGGAACTGGATTTATCTGGAAAAATTCCTTGATACTCCCACTTGCAGTAAGTTGAGCAATATTCCCCCCTAATCTCAGCAACTCTGATGACTGGCTCAATTGGAGGAAGAGTAATCCAGGAAAATCTGTTGTTAGGAATGCTTACTGCCATCTGTTGACCTCCAACTATGAAAAGGACAGAATTTGGTCAGCAATTTGGAAGTGGAAAGGGCCTTATAGAATAGTTGTCTTTCTTTGGTTGGCTTGTCTTAATAAGCTACCTGTCACTGGAGTGGTGGGGAGGTGCAATGCCCCACCTATTTTAATGATAAAGAAACTTTAATCCACACTCTGAGAGATTGCAAAGCGGTTTGGAGTATTTGGGAGAGATGGTTTGCTGGCAAAATCCCAAGTAAGTTTCTTACAGTAAATGGAATAGAGTGGTTCAGGCTTAATTTATTTAAGCCTTTTTACTTCGCATCTCTGGCATTCGTTGATAGAAAAAAATTTTGTGACTTGCTGGTTCTTATGGCAATGGAGGAATTCCACTGTTCATGCTGATTTATTTTCAAGACCTCAAGATCCAGTACACAAGATTCTGTGTTACCTTGCTGATATGAAGAATAGTGGAACTGCTGATCCTTTCTCTCTTTTATCTGGATCCTAACCTTTCTGGTAGATCAGGCCAGATTTTTGACCAAAAAGGAGTAGAAAATTTTGTGGATAGTGTTGTTAATCTTTCAACCCACATAGGAGCTTGTGGAGGTTTTGCTTGCTCTTCAAATGGAGAATGGTTAAGTGGATTCTCTTATAGCATAGGGTCCTGTACCCTTTTGGAAGCTGAATTATGGGATATTCTTCATGGCCTTAAACTAGCTAGTGAGCTGAAACTACCTATTGTCTGGCTTGGTTGTGATAGCAAAGAGGCCATTCACTGCACAGAAGCTATAGCTAATCCATGTGGTTACTCTTCCCTAATCGAAAGTATAAAGAAAACAACCCAATCGTTTGATCAAGTTCATCTGGAGTACATTCCTAGAGATTTAAATGATTGTGCAGATAGCTTAGCTAAGTTAAGATTTAATCACAAGGGTGTAGAGTTGAGGGTGTTCTCCTCTCCCCCTGATAGCATTGAGTCTTTTTAAATTCTTTCTGTTCAAACTTGCTGGTGGAGCATGTGACTTTAAACATGCACCAGTTTTCTGTTTAGTGTTTCTGGGCTAGGCCCTCCATTTATATAAAATAAAAATAAAATAATAATGATTAAAATTATATTTTAGTAAAAAAAAAATTAGACAATATGATTCAAATCACCAATTGGATAGTGTGACAATTATACTAATGACAACCATAACGTGAGAAGATGAAACGCGATCAAAATAAAGGAAAATATCTTCGTTAATAATATAGATAAAGTATTACATGTATTATAATAAGTGCATGGAACAAGAATAATTATTAATTTATTTTATTTTTCACTTGAGCAGAGAGGAAGGAATAATAACTTGAAGGTTTTAATTTAGGAAAGTAAATTAGGAAATGGGACTCTCTTCTCCCAGATACCTTTGTACTCAAGAAAAAAATAGACTCCATCTAGTCTAACACTTCGCCAGCATTTTGATGAACACGATAAACCATCCTTTTCGGAGTTATAAACTTGAAAGCTATACCCAGGTGGTGATGGAGATGGAGATGGAGATTTCACACTGTTCCACCTAGCGGTGCACCAAAACATAGTTGTACCGCGAATGTTATCTTTGAAGGACCATTGTTGGAAGGTTCCATAATGAAGAGAACGATCACCAAGATCATTGTCCTTGAACACGCACTGTTCTTGTTGCCAACAATCCATCATCTTGTTGTTGACAGTGTATTGGGACTACAATCCCCATTACTAATACAACAACTGTAGCCAACAACTTGAACATGTTTGTTATATAACAAAAACAAGCTTACCTATTTTCACTACCCTACACATACACATAACCTCACTGCGAATTGCAACTTATATAAAAGCCACCACCAAAAAAATCTTCCACATTCTTTATTAATTGTGACATCACTTCTTGAAGAATAACAATTTACAAGAAGAATAGTCAAAAATTGTTGCAATACTGCATGCAGTTAAACCATAAATTGCTCCATGACTTTTTGACCATACGGGTGCAACTCTCCAAATTTGTTTTTGATTGGGTGTTTGGAAAAACATATTTCAACTCTATGCCACGTATATTAATGATGGAGACTCACATTTTAAAAATAAACATAAGCCTTCCAACTTTTATTTTTTTATTTGTGGTACGAGGGTACTATACATAAGACATAGTAAATATATTTCTCCAAAGATCCAATAATTTTATTTATTTTTTAGATTTGGCCCCTGGTCCAAAAAGCCTCGCTCCATTAATTGTAGTATTTTCTCTCTTTTTTCAATTGAAAACATAAAATTGTATTTAATTTATTCATTGAATGAAGTATTTGACCCAATTATTTAATTAAGACATAGTAAATATATTTCCTCAAATATGCAATAATTTATTTATTTATTTAATTTTTAGATTTGGATCCCTGGTCAAAAAGCCTCGCTCTGCAGTATTTATTTACTCTCTCATTTTTCAATTCAAAACATAAAATTGTATTTAATTTTTTCATTGAATGGAGTCATTACAAAAAAGTTAATTTAAAATTAGTGACAACAGAAAAAATTATAATAACAATTAACACTCCGTACATTGAATAACGAGTTAATGAATTACAAAGGGCCTATTTCAGTTCTCAAAAATAGTTTTTTAATTTTTAAAATAATAAAATATATTTGATAATATCTATTCAGTAAAAATAATTTTAAAAATTATAACTGTTTTTTAATTTTTAGAAAAAAATTTAGAGAACATATTTGAGTAATTTTTATTTTGTGTTTAAATTTTAATTTTTAAAATAAAAAACGCAAAAAATACATGTTTCATTAAATATTCTATAAATAAAAAACAATAAAATTAGAACACAAACAAACAGACCCTCACCGTTAGGGGTGTTAACCGGTCGAGCCGAGTCGAGTTTGGGTATTAAAAGACTAAGTCTATATTTAAATATGTCAGTCTGACCAAGACTGTTACCTGTTATGAATATAGTTATCGGCATGTGACCTGACTTACAAAAAATAAAAGCCTAGTTTAGTCTGATAGCCTGTTTAAAAAATATAAGATAATAAAAATTTATCCAAACAGAATATATAATCAACAGCACTAGTAATTCCATAAATATTCATAAATTCAATGTACATCTAAACAACATAATATAAAACAAAATCATTCAAAAAGTCTGTTTAACCAATAAAATGGGGTGAGATGAATTGAGGAGAGAGAGAGAGCTACTAAAAGTAATATAAAAAATAAAAATAAAAATTAATATACTAGGCCAGCCTAAGAAGCTCTAAGACCGAGCTTTTGAATTGAAGTCTGAGGCTTTTTTATTAAACGAGTTTTTATACAAGTTCAAACATGATTCCAACAACTAATTTTAGACATGTAAACTCAAGTCTTCACGAGTCGAGCCAAAAGCTTATCAAAAGCCGATGGTTCATTTACCACCTACTCACCGCTACTATCTGATCTCCTCAGCGCAATGTCACATGAGATTTAGATTTATTAAAAATAATATTATAATATTATTTAAACATATTTCATTGATATATTTTCATAAAAAGAAAATCTCATGCTTAATTAGGAAATTTAAATTTTGAAAAGACTTTCCTTCCTTTTTATTCCTTTTTAATGTTGATTCTAAAAATAAGAAAAAAACATAATAAACATGCTTTTATCATCATTTAAAGAAGAATGATAATAACACATTATTTAATATTTCTTGTTTAATATTATTTATTATTAGATTGAATCACCTAGTTTTATTAAATAAATTTAACCCATTTTATATTAGTAAAACTAATATAAAATAATAGACCAATATTAAGTCTATTGTAAAAAAAAAAGTTTAACAGTTAAAACGTCCATTAATTTTTTTTAATATTATGCTAGCATATTATTAAAATTTATACCAATAATTATCAACTGTTTTTTATGCTTAAAAAGTTTGAAAATTGTGGATAAAATAAAATGACAAAAACAACACCACCAACGTGTATGCATATGGAACCAACCAATGTAAGAAAGCAAAGTGCAAAGAACAGAAGAAAACGACAGAAGCAAAAACTGGTGGCTACGATGAACTGCATCCAATGTCATGACATGAACTAAGAACAACAACAACAATTCCTTCTCCACACAAACTAACTCATTCACTCACTGTGCTCATGATCACCACATGCAGAACTTCTTCAAGCACCAACCTTGTAGCTCACCCTTCTCTTTCTCTAAGCTTTTTATCCAAACCAGCATTTCTATCTCTGAGTCTCTTCTTCCCCTGCCACTTTGCTCACAAGGGCATTGCACTTTCCTCAACCCAATGCAAACCCAGAAGCCATTTGGAAAAAGAAAGGAATGTTAATAATGGGGTAGCAGAGGAGGGTGACAGAGAGGTGCACTGTGAGGTCCAAGTAGTTTCATGGAGGGAAAGAAGAGTTAAGGCCAATATTTCTATCAATGCTGACATTGATTCCGTTTGGAATGCTCTCACTGATTATGAGCATCTCGCTGATTTCATACCAAACCTTGTGTGGAGGTAATGTATAATATTGCTGTCAAAGTTTTGATATTGAAGTTTAAGAAAAAAATAAAAATAAAAAAGTGGGTTTTTTTTTTTTTTTTAAATTTATATATAGTATGGACAATGAGAGATTATGAGCATTGTTTTGTTGTTAGTGGGAGAATTCCTTGTCCATATCCTGGACGGATATGGTTAGAACAAAGAGGATTTCAAAGGGCAATGTATTGGCACATAGAAGCTCGTGTTGTGTTGGATCTTCAAGAATTCCTCAATTCTGTAAGAGTATATAAACACTTGTTTTTTTATTGGCACATAAGAAGCATTGTTTTTTTCAGTTACTGCATATTAGTAATGAGTTCTATTTGTAACTAAAAAATGGGCACCTAGGAAGAACGGATGCCGCCGCACAGGACAATTTTAAAAATTATAAGACTTTCTATTTTCTAATATTACATATTCTTTTCAATGCTTCAGGCATGGGATCGAGAACTTCACTTTTCCATGGTTGATGGAGACTTTAAGAAGTTTGAGGGCAAATGGTCTGTAAAATCTGGAACAAGGTAGAATCTATAACTCTCAAAGCCAATTGCTTACTAAGAAGCTATATTTTGAACTTACTGGACTTAAAACTCTTAAAATTGGTTCAATCCAAACCGACGTTTATGTGTTGTACATGATGCTAATCTAAAGCCAGCACAGTCAAAAGGTGGAATCTTGGATGAAGTTCCGATGACTAAAGAGGCTTCATTTTTGGCTTTATGTCTGATACCACAAATTAGAATCTGTGGGACTTCCTTTGAGATACAAGGAAGTTCATATATAATTCAGTTGAATAGCTTTATATCAATGTGTTTTGAACTTGAACTTTTGAGTATGTTGTATGCCCCATTTTGCATTAACGAACCCAATAAGATAATGAAGCTTTGCTGTCCTTATTTGTTTAGTCTTAGTTCAAGTGGGATTTTTACAGGTAACTTCATTTGCCGTTGATATGTATTGAAAAGAAGTTTTTGTATATTGATATTGAATAAATTACATGAGTGAGTATTTATACAAGAAAGAATCGCTAAGAATGACTAAGCGATGACTAATCAATCCTATCACAATCCTAATCACAATCAATTCTAATCAATCATAATCAATCCTAATCAATCATAATCAATCCTAATTAATAGGAAATAAAAACGGAAACATGTTTGAATTCTAATTTTCTACACTCCCCCTCAAGTTGGGAGGTAAATATTGATCATTCCCAACTTGCCAATCAAGTCTTCGAATGCTGGACGGTGTAGGCCCTTGGTAAGGACATCTGCCGTTTGCTCTTTGGTTGGAACATATATCAAATGCACACTTCCATCATCTAATTTTTCTTTGATGAAGTGACGATCAACTTCCACGTGCTTTGTTCGATCATGATGCACAGGATTTTGAGCAATGCTAACAGCTGCCTTGTTGTCACAATATAGTTTTATTGGTAGGGAATATGAAATCTTCAACTCTTGAAGAAGTCTTCTCAACCAGATTCCTTCACAAACTCCATGAGCTAAAGCTCGAAATTCTGCTTCAGCACTACTTCTTGCAACCACTGTTTGCTTTTTGCTTCTCCAAGTAACAAGATTTCCCCACACATAGGTGCAATAGCCTGAGGTAGATCTTCTGTCTACTGATGAGCCTGCCCAATCTGCATCAGTGTAGATTTCAATTGTCCTTTTATACCCCTTTTTAAAGAATAATCCTCTTCCTGGAGTATTCTTGAGGTATCTAAGCACCCTATAGACTGCACTAAGATGCTTCTCCTTGGGTGAGTGCATGAATTGACTAATCATACTCACCGCAAAGGCAATGTCAGGACGCGTATGAGATAAGTAGATTAGTTTACCAACCAATCGCTGATATTGTTCTTTATCCACCTCATTCCCATCTTCAATACCTAACTTGGTATTAGGTTCCACAGGTGTCTCAGCAGGTTTACACCCTAACATTCCTGTTTCCAACAAAAGATCTAGAACATATTTCTTTTGTGTTAGAGTGATGCCTGTTTTGCTCCTAGCAACTTCCATACCAAGGAAATATTTGAGAGTGCCAAGGTCTTTGAGTTCAAATTGAGCTGCTAGAAATTTCTTCAAGGTGTTCAATTCCTCAATATCATCACCTGTAAGAATTATATCATCTACATATACAATAAGAATAGCAATTTTACCATCCTTAGAGTGTTTGTGGAAGAGAGTATGATCAGTCTGTGCTTGAATGAAGCCTCTTCTTTTGACTGCTTGTGTGAATTTGTCGAACCATTCTCTGGGAGACTGTTTCAATCCATATAGAGACTTTTTTAGTTTACACACTGATTCATTTCCCCTTTCAAAACCAGGTGGAGGATCCATATAGACTTCTTCATGTAAGTCACCATTTAGGAATGCATTCTTCACATCTAACTGTTGCAGAGGCCAATCTAGATTGGCAGCAAGAGATAAGAGAACTCGGATGGTATTGACTTTAGCAACCGGAGCAAAAGTCTCATGATAATCTATCCCATGAGTCTGAGTGAAACCCTTTGCAACCAATCTTGCCTTGTATCTGTTGATGCTATTATCTGCATTGAATTTTATTGTAAACACCCATTTGCATCCTACTGCCTTTTTTCCTTTGGGTAGGGTCACTATCTCCCAAGTTCCATTTCTTTCTAAAGCATTCATTTCTTCAAAGACAGCATCCCTCCATTTTTTATCATTGAGAGCCTCATGTATATTTCTCGGTATCTTTGTACTATCCAACATAGTATTGAAAGCACGAAACCCTGGGGACAACTTTCCATATGAAATATGATTAGAAATAGGATGAGTAGTACAAGATCGAGTACCTTTTCTGAGAGCAATGGGCAAGTGTAGATCATTTTCACCATGACACTCAAGTATTGGGGTGCTGGAACTAGAACATGGTTCAGAATCCTGGCAGTGTAGAGGCTCTGGGTTATTCACACTTTGAGGAGGCTTTCGCCTGCTATAATCTTGTCCCCATTTTGAGGAGGCTCCTGATGGTGAGGATTCTGTAGCTCCCCCTGTTTCCAAAAGTAGAGGTAATACTGTGGCATTAATAGGTTCCCATGACTGATCTTCATCTACTCCTATAGACTCCCCCTGAAGAGAAGTCGAGGGGAAGAAAGGGTCATTCTCAGAAAAAGTGACATCCATAGAGACAAAGACCTTACGAAGAGGGTGAATAACACTTATAGCCACGTTGAGTAGGAGAATAACCAATAAAGACACACTGGAGAGACTTAGGATCAAGCTTAGACCGTTGATGGGAGGGAATATGGACAAATACAACACAACCAAATAACTTAAGAGGTAAGGAGGAGACACCTCGGAAGGAAGGGAAGATACGAACAAGACTAGAAAGAGGAGACTGAAATTTCAGAATGCGAGATGGCATTCGATTTATCAGATACGAGGCAGTGAGAACTGCCTCTCCCCAAAGATATTTAGGAACACTCGTGGTAAACATAAGAGCCCGAGCAACTTCAAGGAGATGTCGGTTTTTTCTTTCCGCAACTCCGTTTTGTTGGGGTGTGTCAGGACACGAGCTTTGGTGAAGGATGCCATGTTGGGAAAGATATTCTCCAAGAATAGAGTTAAAATACTCTTTGCCATTATCTGTACGAAGAATTTGTATAGCAACTTGGAATTGGGTTTGAACCATGGCATGAAATTTTTTAAACACGGATGCAGCATCGGACTTATCCTTTAGAAGATACACCCAACAAACTCGAGAATGGTCATCAATGAAGGTAATGAACCATCGAGTACCTGAAATATTTTTAACACGGGCTGGACCCCATATGTCGCTATGAATTAAGGAAAATGGGGAAGAGTCATGGTGAACTTTAGAAGGATAATGAGCACGAGTATGCTTGGCAAGTTGACAAATATCACAAGAAAACAAACTTGGACTTTTATTAATAAATAAGTTTGGCAACAACTTCTGAAGATAAATAAAATTTGGATGGCCTAGCCTACGATGCCACAGCATAACATCATTACATGAATCAAAAGGAAACATAGAGTTTTTTTCTACGAAAACAGCTTCATGAGTCACATCCTCCTCAAAGTAGTAAAGTCCACCATCCTCTCTAGCATTGCCAATCATCCTCTCCGAGTCATGTTCCTGAAAAACACAACCATGTGGAAAGAATTTAGCAAAGCAATGCAACTCAGAGGTGAGCTTGCTAATGGAAATGAGATTACAAGTCAGAGAAGGAACATAAAGAACTGATGTCAAAGTAATCAGCTCAGAAAGTTTAATGGTTCCGTGTCCCGCAATCTGGGAAAAACTGCCATCGGCGATCTTGACCCGAGAAGGTTCAGAATATGGAGTGTATGAACAAAACAAGCCAAGATTACCTGTCATATGATCAGAGGCTCCAGAATCAAGGATCCAATGATTTTGACTATCAACATGGAAAGTTGTACCTTGCTGGACCACATGACTAGTGGCCTTAGGAGGTTGCTCGTGGTAATAAAAAGAGTGTTTTGAGGAAGCCATGAATAAAAAGAGAAGGGTTGACCGTTGATGAAAAATCAAGTTTTGTAAACTTTTGATCTGACCTCTGGAACAGGAAGGGGAGAAGCCGGCGAGAAGGTCTGTGCAAGTCGCGACGGAAAAAAAACGTCTGGAAGGCGGCGCGTGGTGGCGCGTGCAGCGGCTGACGGCGATGGGTCCAGCGGCGGTCGACTCGTCGGATCCTTCTGAGTCGAATGGTCACCTCACTTTTTTGATCGGAGGTCAGTAAACTAGGTTTCTGTGTTGGACAGATTCAAGGCGGTGTTTAGGAGGTGTTTGACGGTGATGGAAGTGTTTGGATGGTTATTTCAGATTTGAATTAGGGTAGGAACGAACCCGCTCTGATACCATATTGAAAAGAAGTTTTTGTATATTGATATTGAATAAATTACATGAGTGAGTATTTATACAAGAAAGAATCGCTAAGAATGACTAAGCGATGACTAATCAATCCTATCACAATCCTAATCACAATCAATTCTAATCAATCACAATTAATCCTAATCAATCATAATCAATCCTAATCAATCATAATCAATCCTAATTAATAGGAAATAAAAACGGAAACATGTTTGAATTCTAATTTTCTACAATATGGAACTTTTATTGGCATAACTGTTTTACTTTTATAGTTTATCCTTCAATTCTGTTTCTTGCAGGTCGTCATCAACTAATTTATCTTATGAAGTTAACGTGATACCGAGATTCAATTTCCCAGCTATTTTCTTGGAAAGGATTATCAGCTCAGATCTTCCTATAAACCTCAGAGCCTTGGCATATAGGGTTGAAAGGAATATTTTGGGAAATCAGAAACTTTCCCTGCCAGAAAACCACTTGCATGAAACTTCTACTGCTATTAACGGGTCATCTGTCGAAAAGATCAATGGTGCTTTGTGTGAAAGTGACAAATTGTCACCTGGAGAGAACAAAGAAGGATTGGCCAGCTCAATTTCCGGTTCCATGCCCATCTCTTCAAATGAAGTGAACAGCAATTGGGGTGTATTTGGAAAAGTTTGCAGACTTGACAAGCCTTGTGTGGTGGATGAAGTTCATCTCCGCAGATTTGATGGACTTTTGGTAACTTGCCATACTAAATTGTTATGAGGTGACCTTAATTCTGAGAATGAGCTCTATTTGTTGTCAAATTAACTAATGAAATGATTTTCATGCTAAGGAAAATGGAGGTGTTCATCGCTGTGTTGTTGCAAGCATGACAGTTAAAGCTCCAGTTCGTGATGTATGGAATGTTCTGTCTTCCTATGAGACTCTTCCTGAGTAAGTAATGTGTGCTTCTTCTTTACACTAGAGATATTAAAAAACATGCTGTGAAATATTTCTAGATTTTATGTTTCATTTTCCTGATTTGGCTCCAAAATTAAAATCATTTGTTGCAGGATAGTTCCAAATTTAGCCATCAGTAAGATTTTATCACGAGATAACAATAAAGTCCGCATTCTTCAGGTATGGTTCAATGTCACTGAAACAAGGTCTTAAAATGAGAGAATCATAGCTGTTTATATACTAGTATGTTTCTTGGCCACTGTATTATGCTTACCAGGCATTGTTTTACCATGACCATCCACTATCAGTAAAATGCAGAAGTATCTCCTTATTAGCACAATTACTAAATACAAGCATGAACTTGTGATACAATTTATCAATAAATTATGTGATTGATGTAAATTCCTGGTTAAATCAATGTGCAGGAAGGTTGTAAAGGACTACTTTATATGGTGCTTCATGCTCGTGTTGTGTTAGACTTGTGTGAATATCTAGAACAAGAAATCAGTTTTGAACAGGTTGAAGGGGACTTCGACTCGTTCCAGGGAAAATGGATTTTTGAGCAACTAGGAAATCATCATACACTGCTTAAGTACACTGTGGAGTCAAAAATGCGCAAAGATACTTTCCTTTCTGAAGCTATCATGGAAGAGGTTTGTCTATATCAATTTCATTTTGCTTTTAATACTTGATTATTTCTAATAGTTTAACCACCTACTGTTCATTATAGTCCACCTTAGATAACCTTTTGATAGAAACTGCAAAGGAGCTAAGTTACCGAAAATGGAAATTACTCAGTATCTTTGACCTATATAAGTGGAAGCAAGATACATTCTTTTATCCATATCTCTCTCTTTTGTTTTAGTGAAAATAAAAATCCGTGTACCTTTGTTTGAACTAGATACAATCTTTTGAAGGTAAATTGATCCACTTGTTTGTCACTTCAAACATTATATCTATAACACACTGACTACTTGAATGCCCGAAATGTTATAAGATCTTTGAACAATATTATTTCAGGTCATTTATGAAGATCTCCCATCAAACTTGTGTGCAATAAGAGACTATGTTGAGAACAAGAAAGCATCACATATCTCGGAAGTTTGTGAGCAGAATACAAATTCAGGGCAACAAATTGTTTCATCTGGCTTTGAAGATGATGACAGCTATAGTTCAGTTGATGACTTCTCTGATTGCAATGCTCAAAGCTCATCTCAACAAAGGCCTAGAGTTGCAGGCTTACAGAGGGATATTGAAGTCCTAAAATCTGAACTCCTGAGATTCATTGGGGAGCATGGACAGGAAGGATTTATGCCAATGAGGAAGCAACTTCGTTTGCATGGAAGAGTGGACATTGAGAAGGCTATAACTCGCATGGGTGGATTCAGAAAGATTGCAACAATGATGAACCTCTCTCTTGCTTACAAGCACCGCAAACCAAAGGGTTACTGGGACAATCTTGAAAATTTGCAGGACGAGGTTGGCTGCAAAAGTTTCTATCTAGTTTCCGCTAACAAGAATGACAATGACATGATGAAAGATAAATGTTATGCATCTATGAAAGATTATTTCATGATTAAAGAATATGCATAACATTGTTGATATCTTCAATCAGAATATAATTCATTTCTTAATGCAGATAAGTAGATTTCAAAGGAACTGGGGAATGGACCCTTCATTTATGCCCAGTAGGAAGTCATTTGAGCGTGCAGGTAGGTTGAGATATATTCCCCTTCTCAACTTAGCTTTGATCACTTTCTATTCTAAAGAAGAAAGATGGATGTAGTAACATGCAACATCACAAATATGTAACTTCTTTCCAGTTTCATTTTGAACATAGCAGTAGTACATAATGGAATTTTCCCACAGGGCGCTTTGATATTGCGCGTGCACTGGAAAAGTGGGGTGGACTTCATGAGGTTTCTCGCCTTCTGTCCCTCAAAGTGAGGAGACAACCAAGCAGACAGGGAAAGCTTGCCAACAAGGATAAGAAAATTGTTCATATAATGTCACCTAATGTAGATAATGAGATCAAGACACCATCCAGAGACTATATTTCTCAAGATACACACAAGTGGCTCACAGAACTAAAACAATTGGACGTAAATTGGGTTGAGTAAAATGAGAATGGATTTATTTATGTATACATTGGTTTAAGTATAACCAATGTGTTCATTGTAACATATGATAGGTTTCTGGTGATGATTTTTTTGTATGGATTGATTGATTGATTGATTCTCCACTGTAATTGAACTTTGCCATTCTAGTTTTAAGTTGAAAATTTAAAAAAGAAGAGACTGTCGAGATATATAAAATCATTAATGTAGCCTCACCTAACAGCTTAAGCTTTTGAGTTGAATTGGTAGACAATAAAACTAAACGGAGTACTATTAATTAAGCACAAAATAGACTAAAGAATTATTGAGAATATATCCTCATAATCAACAGTAGAATACATTAATTCACATTCATACAACAAAGATCATATACTTTTAAACAAAAACAAAACAAAAAAAAAAAGTATGCAGCTGTGTATACTCGGCTTCATATTAGAATTAGAACACCACAGAAGAAGATGCACTCTCGTAGTGAACCATATCCTCTGACATGTGAGGACTTGGTTCCTCATAGAATGAAGGTTGAAGGGTGGTTAGTTTGATATCATAGATTTTGGAATCAGAAATACCATCCCAGGAGTGAGAGGGTAAACTGTAAGCATAACCAACATGGTTCCCACACCTGCGGCAGAGAAGCTTGGTTCTTCTTCGTTGGAAAAAGGGTATCCATGACCAAGGAAGTTGTTGGATCTGAGTGAACCTGCTCTCATCCACGGAGAAGAAGGAAATGATACCTTTCTTTATGGACTTACCGTATTTGGAATCAATGAAGGAGGTGTTGCGGTTTCTGGAGTTCAAGTTCAGCTCATAACCACACGAACCACAGCTGAATAACATGACATGGAACAGAAAACATATGACATTACAACATGGTACTTTACTTTGCATTTAAAAGCTCAAAAGTGAACACAAACAAACACGCACAGAGAGAGATTCCAATATAATAGAAAAGAGTGAGAGAGATAGAGAGAGTACCTGTAGTTTACATCTCTGATAAAGGAGGAAAGGTGAAGTTGTTGACATTGGGATGATCCCATAAGCATGTCACCACCATAGGTGATCATCTTTTTGTGTGTATGGTTTAGTGAAAGAGTGAGTTTATAATGAAAGAAGAGCTTCTGAGTCAGAAGGCCCCACTAACGGTAACAATAGAAGGCAACAAAATATATATTATCATTCAAGCTTCCTACTTTGGAGGTGGCCACTTCTTAAAGCCCAAAGTTATACTTTATTACAATTTGGTATTATCTACTTTTTTTTCTTAATTTGTTCGCGTAATATATTTACAATTTTTTTATTTATAAATTACACTATGTACTTATGGATAATACATTGTGTATTGAAATGTACTACCTTTAATACATAGTATAGTTTATAAAAATTTATAAATAAAAAATTTGTATATATAACTTTATCCATTATTTTTAGTTCCAATAACTTCTTTTGCCTTACCAAATGAAAATATGTCAATTTTGTGATTGGAAGATAATTCTTATTTACTCTGAAAATAATACATCTATTTAATAAAAAGATAACACGTCCCATAAAAAATAAATCTAGGTGGTTAAATTATTTAAATTTTTACAATAAACCTTCAATATTTAAATTTTGGGAAATGTATTTTTTATGTTGCATGAGATAATTTTGCATCATGCACATATTTTTCATGTATTTTTCCATATTTTGGTTTAATAAAAAGCTTTTTGATAATATTTTCGATATTTCACTATTCCTAATAATTATAACTCACATCTAAGTATATTCGTTGCAGATTGAAAACCCTTTGAGGTCAACTCAGTTGAAGAACTCCCCTGGAATGCCGAGACATTCCTTGAGTTGAGCTTCATCAAGTTCTCTATTCATGCCATCCTCATCCACTCTCGTTGGTACCATGAAAAACCCCATTAATTTGATTCAAGATGATTGCAGAATCAAGAGGTTAGATAAAAAAGAAGCTACTATCTCTCTCATGGCTTTAAGAGATATCATAGTCACGACGACTTTCTCTCTCAATTGGTAGGTTAATTAAAGTCACCGTATCACCACAACAAGGATCCGTGGCGCAATGGTAGCGCGTCTGACTCCAGATCAGAAGGTTGCGTGTTCGATTCACGTCGGGTTCAAATCCCTTTGAAAGATCCTATATTTTTTCTTTTACTTTTTTTCTTTCTGCTTTTGCTCCCCAAAATATGCTTCCATTCCATGTAATGCTCTGTTCTTTTGATTCCTTCCTTGCACCTACTTCTCTGTTTCCATTGAATTGGGTCGTTACTATAATTTGAGTTTCAATCTATTATTTGTGAGTTACATTTTCGAACTAATATTTATAAAAAAATAAAATAAAAAGTAAAACAGTAAAAACATTATGAATGTCTTCTTCACTAAGGACGCGATTGGTACGTGACTTTGTGTGTTAACTTGTGTACGGTCGACAAATTGTAGATCCATAAAATTTGTGGAAATGTTGACTGCTGGGGGAAGGAAAGTTAAAGTGCGAAAACTAGACAAAATTGACCTTGTCAGGAAGTACGATGTGTAGATATGGTCTACCAAAAGCAAAAAAAGTGAGGATATTTTAATAAAATAATCTCACATTTCCACTACTATTTCATAATCAACCAAACACAAACTCAATAAAATTAACTTAATCTTTCCGAGAAAATATGGGTCTACCAAACATCTTTTTAGTAACATTCCAGTAAAATATATTTTTCACTATATTCCAGTAATAATTATTTCTCACAAAAAAAAAATTCTCCTTGGTACACCCTTAATACTTCTAGGTTGCCTCATCTTTTATATGCCAGACAGCGATGTCAAGTTTTTTTTTGTTTTTTCCTTTTGTTATTGGAAAATTCAGTTATAAATAACTTCTTCCCTAATTCATTTGAATTTATATTTCTTCTGATTATATTCACCTTCTCATCCAACTTTCTTTCTTCACACGGTTGAATTATTTTATTTTATTTTATTTTTCAAAGGTGAACTAATGATATTTCAAAATTAGCTAATACTCAAGAGTCAGGAGACACCTGATACCAACAGGACATATTCATTTAATTTACATTTCAATCCGAAGGTACCCGTAAAAAATCATCTTATATAAATTTGTATGTAATTAAATATCTTATGGTATCTTTTTGTCTTATTTAATATGATTTAGATAGCACTATTCGGATTTAATTAAATTTTTTAATTTGATGCAGAATTTGTTCTGTAAGAATTTTAATTATTGTTATGTATTCCACTAAAATTAATTTAGAGTTTATTTTTCATATATTATTATTGGTAAAAATTAAAATATTATTTAATTATTTAATCTCGAATCAGAACTTAATCATAGTTAAAGCTCTTCGTCCCTTCTCAATAGTAACGAAGCCACATTGACTCCAACCAGTGCCTTGCACAGGCTTATTTTCAAAAATTAATCATGTTTTAGAAGTTGGTAGATAACCGTATTTACACTACAACACCTGAAAGAGATAAAATATAGTATTTGGCACCGGCTAACTTTTTTTTGGCATCTAAGTAGTTTTGCTGGCACCGCCAATGCTTTCTAAAAATGCATTTGATGAAAATCAAACTCAAATTTTCTTCCCACCTACTTAGCCTGTATAGCCAACTAAGCTACACCTATTGGGAGTTAATTATTTTAATTTCTAAAATAAACCTTCAATCTTTAAATGTTATTCTCAAAAGAAATAAAATATTATTACTATCAATTAGTGTTACTATCAATGTCACTACCACTATATTTCACCATTAGATCGATTATGTTGATCCAACAATTATATTTAACTTTCTAAAAATATTCTTTCTTCTCCCTATATTTAGTATTTTATATTTATTTTTACCTTTGTAAAATACTTTATATTTAATACTTCATATTTAATGTGAAAGAATTAAATATAAAAAATCATAATCATACAGATAAAATAAACATAGTCGTTGGATCAACATAATCGACCTAATGGTGAAACAAAGTGATTAATTATGACATTGATAATAACACTAATTGATAGTAACAATATACTATTCTCTTCTCGAAATACTTACATATTTCTCTATAACATGACCGCAGAAAAAGACAATAAAAGACAAATGTATTCATCGTGGCCAAGTTTAGCAATTAGCATGATATAATACATTTACATAACCATCACAATGCAACAAAATCACTACTCCAACGAAGTCTGCAAATATTGCATGAGAAAAGGGTTCGAATCGCAGAGAAAGAGTCGTCCAAGTGGAGAATGAAAGAATTAGGGTAACAAGAATTCAGCAACAAAATATTAGACAAATAATGTCACATTAATAGGGTTAGGGAAAAAGCAGTCACCGTAATCCGCAACCAGACCGTGCAAACATCGCGGTAGAAACAGGAAAGGTGGCGGCAAAAATTACAGAGATTCCATTTGGGACATCATTGGAAGTAGCCTTGAGTTCAAGCAAAAATGCTGAACGTCGTAACATTTCTGAATATTGTATGCCATGACATTAACTATACATATCCTCACATGGAAGGAGAAGGGATTACTGATTGCAATTACAACAGAAACATAAATATAAGTGCCCATCTTAACTAATCACCATGGCTTGACCATGATTATACAAAATTACCCCCCCAAAAAATACTCAAGATTAGAGAAACTTCGCATCATTAGCCTATTTTAGCATCCAATATTTCCTTTGTCGTTGCAATGGGCATTTAAATTGGAATAGAGCTCTGGAACTCATACAGCGAGATTATTGCTTTCCCCCCCCCCCCCCCCCCCCCCCCAAACTTACAACACATCACTGTTTGGAGCGCTTTAAGTAGACCAACACAGCAACGCTAGTTATAACAATAGCACCTGCAAAAATACCAGAACGTAAAGACAAAGGACTAGTTTTCTGTCTAATGGCTGTACCAGATTGTGGTGTTGTTGGTTTGGCTGAATTGCCAAACTCCAAATGCAACTTTAAAGCCTGAAATACAAAAATGCTCTATATCAGAATGTATGGATCAAATCCAAATTAATAATCTCATAGAAGCCAACATCATCAAATGAAAAAACTAGTCGAAGCATATATCTTCACCTTCACTCCTGCAGATCTAGCATAGCTGACAGCAGCTACAAGATCACTATCAGTTGAAAGAATAATTTTATCACCTTCATCATCCTCATACTATAAAGGAGGAAAAAGTCAGTATAATCATAAAGACATATAGTTCTCTCAAAAGGCAGAAGACTATGAGCTAGCATAAAACACACCAAAATTGTAGGGTGTTCTCCATCATTAACATCGATTCTCTGCATGACAGCAGATACTAGCTCATCTAGATGTTCAGAACCTACAAAAAAACAACAACATAAATAATTGTAAGTTCTAAAAAGAATCAAAGGGGACAGGGAAGAGGAAAAAAATTAAATAAGCCAGGTTCAGATATCAATGTACATGATGTTCGTGGCTAACATCCAAGGAGACAAAAAAAATATTCAGACAATAAGTCCTCGCAATACTTTCCCCAAGATAGTCACTCACCACAGTTGAATCGATGCACAAAACCATTGAGATCCTCAAATTTGAAGGCAAATGAATTTCCAAAAGCTACAGATTGATATGCAGACTTTGCTGTATCTGCCCCATCTGATGTCATTAGCCCAGAAACTTCACTGCAATAAAACAACGTATAGGCTGATTCAGTGATCAGAACAAAAACAAATCTCATGTTTAAACATCCGTACAACCCGAGCACCTATGAGTATCAGAATCTTCTGGTGGCTCTAGAGCAAAAGCAGAATCCCAAAATTTTTGCATAATTGTATTTGCCACATCATTAACAGCTCCAGAGCCACTCTCAACCTACAAAGTACATCTTAGTAATCAGATATTGGCATTTGTATAACAGACACAGTACCAACTGTTTATACAGAGAGGTGCATGATTCTTACAACACAAGATAAAAGACTTCAATGTTATTAAAGGTGGGCACCCCAAGAGTTATAAAAGCATAATGATTAGGAAGTGAGAAGGGGGAATTTAAGGTGGACAGTTGAACTGATCCATTTACAAGACTACCCAAAGGTACAACGTTATGATAATTTAGGATGATAACTATTCAAAGATGTAAAAAAGAGTTTTTTGTATGTTGATTCTATAGGTTTACACTAATAGAAGGTATTTATACAAGTAAAAAACGAAAAAAATAGATAATAATGACTCAGCAATGAGCCATCAATCCTATCCTATCATGACTTAGCAAATTCAAAAATTCAAATATCCTAATTTCCTACACTCCCCCTCAAGTTGGGAGGTAAATGATGATCATTCCCAACTTGCCAATCAGGTCTTCAAAGGCTGGCCGATGTAGGCCCTTAGTGAGGATATCTGCAATTTGTTCTTTGGTAGGACTATACATCATACACACACTTCTATAATCTAGTTTTTCTTTGACGAAGTGACGATCAACTTCCACATGCTTTGTTCGATCATGGTGAACTGGATTTTGAGCACTGCTGACAGCTGCCTCGTTGTCACAATATAATTTTATTAGTAGGGAATATAAGATCTTCAACTCTTCAAGAAGTCTTCTCAACCAGATTCTCTCACAGACTCCATGGGCTAAAGCTATTTCAGCACTACTTCTTGCGACCACTGTTTATTTTTTGCTTCTCCAAGTTACAAAATTTCCCCACACATAGGTGCAATAGCATGAGGTAATCTCCTGTCCACTTATGAACTTGCCCAATCTGCATCAGTATAGATTTCAATTGTCCTATTATACCTTTTCTAAAGAATAATCCTTTGCTTGAAGTATTCTTGAGGTATCTAAGCATCCTATAGACTGCACTTACATGTTTCCCCTTGGGTGAGTGCATGAATTGACTAATAATACCCACGGCAAAGGCAATGTCAGGTCGCATGTGGGATAAGTAAATTAGTTTTTCAACCAATCTTTGATATTGCTCTTTGCCCACCTCGTTCCCATCTTCAATACCTAAATTGGTGTTCGGTTCCATAGGTGTCTTGGCAGGCTTACATCCTAACATTCCTGTTTCCAGCAAAAGATCTAGAAAATACTTCTTTTGTGTGAGAGTGATGCCCGCTTTGCTCCTAGCAACTTCCATATCAAGGAAATATTTAAGAGTTCCAAGGTCCTTTAGTTCGAACTCAGCTGCTAGATACTCCTTCAAGGAGTTCAATTCCTCATTATCGTCACCTGTAAGAACTATATCATCCACGTACACAATAAAAATAGCAATTTTACCATCCTTAGAGTGTTTGTGGAAGTGTGTATGATCAGTCTATGCTTGAATGAAGCCTCTTCCTTTGACAACTTGTGTGAATTTGACGAACCATTTTCTAAGAGATTGTTTCAACCCAAAAAGCCTCTTTTAGTTTACACACTGATCCATCTCGCATTTAAAAACCAGGTGGAGGATCCATATAGACCTCTTCATGTAAATCACCATTTAGGAACGCATTTTTCACATCTAACTGTTGCAGAGGCCAATCTAGATTGGCAGCAAGTGATAAGAGAACTCGGATGGTATTGACCTTAGCAACTGGAGCAAAAGTCTCATGGTGAATCTGGGTGAACCCCTTCACAACCAATCTTGCCTTGTATCCGTTGATGCTATTATCTGCATTGAATTTTATTGTAAACACCCAATTACATCCTACTTCCTGTTTTTCCTTTGGTAGGGTCACTGTCTCCCAAGTTCCATTTCTTTCTAGAGCATTCATTTCTTCAAAAACAGCATCCCTCCATTTTGGATCATTGAGAGCCTCGTGTATATTTCTCGGTATCGTTGTACACTTGCTGTCCAACATAGTATTGAAAGCACGGAACCCTGGGTATAACTTTACATATGAAATATGATTAGAAATAGGATGTACTAACATTTTCTGAAAGCAATGGGCAAGTGTAGATCACTTTGGTCATGGCACTCAAGTGTCGGGGTGCTGTAATTAGAACTTGGTTCAGAATCATGGCAGTGTAGAGGCTCTGGGCTATTCACACTTTGAGGAGGCTTTCGCCTGCTATTAACTTATCCCCACTTTGAGGAGGCTCCTCCTGTCTCTAATTGTGAGGGTTCTGTAGCTCCTGTTTCCAATAGTAGAGGTAATATTGTGGCATCAGTAGGTTCCCATGACTGATCTTCATCTGCTCCTAAAGACTCCCCCTGAAGAGAAGTCAGGGGAAAGAAAGGTTGTCTCACAGAAAAGGTGACATCCATAGAGACAGACATTAGAAAGAGAGGGGTGAATAGCATTTATAGCCATGTTGAGTAGGATAATAACCAATGAAGACACACCAGAGAGACTTAGGATCAAGTTTGGACCTTTGATGAGAAGGAATATGGAAAAATACAACATAACCAAACAGCTTAGGAGGTAGGGAGGAGATGCCTCGGAAGGAAGGGAAGGTGCAAAAAAGACTAGAAAGAGGAGACTAAAAGTTTCGAGTGCGAGATAGCATTCGATTGATAAGGTACAAGACAGTGAGAACGGCTTCCCCCCAAAAATATTTTCGGACGCTCATAATGAACATAAGAGCCCAAGCAACTTCAAGGAGATGTTGGTTTTTTCTTTCAGCAACTCTGTTTTGTTAGGGTGTGTCAGGACACGAGCTTTGTTAAAGGATGTCATGTTGAGAGAGATATTCTCCAAGAATAGAGTTAAAATACTCTTTGCCATATCTGTAAGAAGAATTTGTATAGCAAATTGGAATTAGGTTTGAACCATGGCATGGAATTTTTTGAAAATGGGTAAAGCATTTGACTTGTTCTTTAGAAGGTATACCCAACAAACCCGAGAATGGTCATCAACGAAGGTAATGAACCATCGAGAACCTGAAATATTCTTTACACGGGCTGGACCCCATATGTCACTATGAATTAAGGAAAATGGGAAAGAATCATGGTGAGCTCTAGAAGATAATGAACATGAGAATGCTTGGCAAGTTGACAAATATCACAAGAAAACAAACTAGGACTTTTATTAATAAATAAGTTTGGTAACAATTTCTGAAAATAGGTAAAATTTGGATGGCCTAGCCAACAATGCCACAACAAAACATCATTACATGAATAAAAAAAAAACATAGTCTCATTTTCCACAAAAGCAGCTTCATGAGTCACACCATCCTCCTCACAGTAGTAAATTCTCTCTAGCACTGCCAATCATCCTCTCCGAGTCATGTTCCTGAAAAACACAACCATGTGGAAAGAATTTAGCAAAACAACATAACTCAAAAGTCAGCTTGCTAATGGAAATGAGATTGCAAGCCAGAGAAGGAACAAGAAGAATTGATGTTAAATCAATCTCCTCGGAAAGTTTAACGATTCCATGTCCTGCAATCCGGGAGAAACTGCCATCGGCGATAAAATTGCCATGTAAGAGCAAAATAAGGTCGGATTATCTGTCATATGGTCAGAGGCTACAAAATCAAGGATCCAACGAGTTTGATTATCAACATGGAAGGTTGTACCTTGCTGGGCCACATTGCTAGTGGCCTTAGGAGGTTAAGTCAAAAGTCTCTGAAGTTGCTCGAATTGAGTTTTGCTGAGAAACACACTATCAGAGTCAGCGAAGGCACGAGGCTCATCAACCCTGTCATCAGTAGAGACCCAATATACACAATGTTTATTCTGCCTTTTTGGCTTCCAATTTGCAGGTTTCCCGTGGATCTCCCAACACCTCTCACAGGTATGACCAACTTTATTGCAATGGGTGCACCACGGACGACCATTCCGTTTCGATTCTCCAGAGGAACGATCAATAGTATGTTTGGCGGCTACTGCAGACATATCAATAGACTTATCAATTGATTCTTTTTCTCCCAACATAACTCTTCGTCTACTAGCTTCTCTTCGAACCTCAGCAAAGGCATCAACAAGTGAAGGTAACGGTCGCTGACCCAATATTCGACCACGAACCTCATCAAGATCGCAGTTGAGGCCAGCAAGAAATTCATAAAGTCGTTCCTTCTCCAAGTGTGTTTTAAACTGGGCATTAGCTTTCAATCCTTTGAGGTCGGATGCATAATGAAGATCCAGTTCCTGCCACAAATTTGCTAATGCAGTAAAATATTCAGTAATGGTCATACCTCCTTTACGCAGGTCCTTTAACTTATTGTTTAGTTCAAAGACTTGAGAGGTATTTTCCAGATCGGAATAATTTTGTTGAACAACATCCCAAATATCCTTGGCGATATCGAGAAACAAATAGGTTCATCTGATCTGGGGTTCCATGGAATTGGTCAGCCGCGCCATTACCAAGGAGTTATTAATCTCCCAATTTTCATAATCAGGAGCATTCTCGGCAGGCTTTTTAATCTTCCCGTCGAGATTACCCATCCTACCCTTTGCCCAGATGATCAACTTAATAGATTGAAACCATTGCAGGAAATTCTTACCGTTCAACCGGTGAATAGTGATCTGCATGGCTAAGTTGTCTCCAGAGGACAGAGTATTGGGGGCAGATAAGGAAGCGGAAAAACAATCAGAAGAAGCCATGAATGAAGACACAGAGTAGAACAAATTCAATGAACAGTAATTTCGGCAGTGCACAGTAACTCAAGTGACGTTGAACAGTGTTTCCGGCGGCGGTGAGAATGGCTGATCTAGGGGTGGAACGAACCCGCTCTTGATACCATAATGAAATATGTAAAAAGGAGTTTTTTGTATGTTGATTCTATAGGTTTACACTAATATGATGTATTTATACAAGTGAAAAATGAAAAAAAATAGATAAGAATGACTTAGCAATGAGTTGCCAGTCCTATCCTATCATGACTCAGCAAATTTAAAAATTCAAATATCCTAATTTCCTACATGTTAGAGAATAGTATAAACCATTAATGTAGTATCACCCAACAACTTAAGTTTTTGTGTTGAATTGGTTCTTTACATGGTATAAAAGCCTCCATGACCGAATGGTCACGAGTTCGATTCTCACCGCCCCCCATTCAGTTAATAAATAATTAAGTATTGTGGAATTTCTTAGCACAAGTAAGTTGGGCCTGATGCATCATCCACCCTTCAAGCCCAGTGGGCTCTCGTGAGAGAGGACGTGTTAGAGAATAGTATAAACCATTAATGTAGTCTCACTCAAGAGCTTAAACTTTTTGATTGAATTGGTTCTTTACAATCAAATCGTTATCCAGAGTGTGTGGAAATCTTCCAAACAAAGATGGAAACTATCAATATTACTATCACCAAATGTTGCCTTACTATCACCAAATGTAAAAGGCAACATTCCTCTAACCAAACTGAATGTGCACCAATACCACATAGTTGGATGGAGAGAGAGAGACATTTTCTGTTTGCAAAAAGACAAAAGTTATTTCAGAAATTCTTAGATATTCCCTTAGGGTAGTGAATGTTTGTGTGAAATGTGAATGCCATTGAAAGAAAGTTCAGAAAAAAGTTATGAAAAGTAAATTCCAGGGACTAAAACTGATGCTTGATCCTTTCATAATACACAGCTATCACCTGAAACACAGACATCAAGACCCATACATACACACACCTCACAGCAGATAACCAGATCCCTCCATATTTCCAACTTCAAGACTATATAATAAAATTGCTTCCTCTACTGTATAATTATATCCATCTCAAGCATGAAATTTACCATGGAAATTGCAGCATGGGTTATCTGCAAAACATCCACACAAGCAGAAACATATCCATCTGCAGAACAATAATAATCAGCACAATAAGGTAAAAATTAAGAAACTGCCTATGAAATAGCGAAAGTAAAGCTCACCTCTGTCTAGCACAGGAAGATGTAAAAACTTCCCATCATGCATCATATGCAGAGCATCAATTATTGTTGTATCAACTGATGCACAATCTGGGTTTGGAGTCATTACCTAAGTGAGAAAGGGAAGAATCAAGAAAAAACAAATCAGTTCTCAATATCTAGCAAAAATAAGAAACAAACAGTAGAGATGGCCTCTCACAATAACCCTCTCTCTACTTAAGTTATTTCAAAAAATAAAATAAAACAACAACCTTTTCCACTAGAGTCAACTCAGGAGAAAGATTTTGAGCCACAACACGCATAAGTATGTCCTTAGAACTGCATGAAAGATTTAGAGAATGTTAGGCATCCTACAATGACAAATGTACAAATTAGGAAGGATGGGATGAGTATCGGGTTTGGGGTGGATCACACAGGAAGTAGTGGGAGAGGATGGGAAAGAATCATCACGGACAGTAATGTTACCTCCTGCCCACATGGCAGGTTGGGAGGGAAATAAGGAAGGGAACTGGATAGAAGATTAGGAGGGAAAGTTAGGAATAAAAGAAAGAAGGGTGAGCTAAGTGAGGTAGGCATGAATTGAGTAAGGTTTTGGGTTTATTGGGCAGGGAGGTTTGCAGACCCTCTCGAAGTTCTGCAGTGTTCTATCCTTTGTTATCTGTTTTTGTGAGTGAGAGTGCTGAACCTACGGCTTTTATCTCTATAATGGGGGATTATCCCTATTTTCTCTAATAAAATGCCTGGTACCTACCAGAGAACAAAATATTATACAAAAAAAGGGTCCAAAATCCAATTCCAATATCATTCAAGGAAAGTTCTTAAGAAAACATGCAATCGTGTATGTTACTCATATCATTGACTTTCAAGAGAAGAGAATAAAGCCCTGAAAAAGATATTACGTGAGTATCCCCTGAATCTTGGTTCCCGACTGGGACACAACAACAGCCGAATTAACGCGCAACTCCCGCATCTTTTTTGCAGCTACATAGACAGGATCGGCAGCTGATGCAATAGCAAACCTGTAAACATAAAGCTACAGAACTTTATAAAACAATAATATCTTATGATTATATAAGTATCCAGTGGCAATACATACAAACACAAATATATATATATGTATATATATTTAATGTGAAAATTACTTTGTATTTTCACCAATTAGAGTTGACAGGGAAGGCTTGAACATGCGCTCCCTCAATGTTTCTATCAAAGCATTTGGAGCTGAGAAAGATGGTGGCAATTGAAACGGAAGATTAGTATCATTACAATATGAAGGCAAAATATGGCAATATCCAGCATTCCTAAATAATTATAAAGCAAGGACTCTGAGAAGCGAACAATTTACAGAAGCACAACCAAAAAAAGAGAAGTCAAAATACATGGAAACCATTCAAATCAATATTAAAGATAAGAAACATAAAGCATAACTGTATAAGTTAAGAGGCACATAAATCATAATTAATGCATAAACTTGCAGGGTTTCTAATCACTTTTCTTGACAGCGTTTTGTTCTCCCTTCATGTGCTTAGGTTAATATTCACGGGCCCGTTTGGATGGGCTTTTTTGTCTCCAAAAGCTGCTTTTTTTTCAGGAAAAAAAAAAGCAGCACTTCTCACTTTAAGTTTGTTTGGATATTTGCTTAAAAAAAAAAAACATAAGTCACAAAAAAAGCCAAAAACCTGCTTTTTTTGGAAGCTAAAAATTTAGCTTCTAAAAAAAAAATAAGCCAAAATTCAATTTTTTTTAAAGAATCTAAATAGCTTTAACTTTTGTAAAAAGCACTTCTAAAATAAGCAAGGCATAAAAGCTTCTTTTTTTAAAAGGCCAAACAAACGGGCTCTAAACCTTATAAGTTATCCTCTCAAGTATGTCATCCAAGTATAATATACTAAGAAGTAAAACACATTGCCCAGTCCATTAATAAAAATCCTGGCCTCAAAGCAAGATAAATTGAGACTTTTTTGGGAGGATTACAAATTATAATTGAGAAATGTCTAACAAAAATATTTCCAGTTAAGGGGGTAATTACCCACACAAGTGATTAATTAAGCTAATAGAGGCTTCTCACACTAACCACTCTTCAAACTTTTTGATAAAGAAGAATATATTATTAGAAGGGGAAAGAAAAAGAGTGACAGACAAAGAGAGAGAGTACAAAGTGAGACTAGTGGGAAAATAAGATAAAAGGGCAAACTTGGCGCACAAGGCTTCCTGACTTGGGAGGGTCCTTGTCTTCACATTTTTGCAAAAAGACTGTTTCCAAGACTCGAACCCGTGACCTATTGGGCATAAGGAGCAACTTTACCACTGCTCCAAGGCTCGCCCTCAGGTGGGAAAATAAGATATATTCTTAAAAAAAAAATGAAATAAATAAGAGCAATCTAAAGCATTCATTTGGTAATTCACTTCTCCCTATCTCTTTCTATAAACTACCAATTCCCTTGTGTCTAATTTTCAGCCAGAAAGATAAACAAAGCATAAAATTTTGTTTGTAGAAACAGTGGAGCCAGCTTATGAGTATGCCAAATGATAAATTTTATATTTAGAAAACATACTTCTGAATTCAACAGGGGCAGCTATAGCATAAACATCAAAAAGACATATATGCACGTAAGCGGATACAATTCACAAATTCCTATACAATAGTACTATAAGAAGTGTATTTAAAAATAATTGTTAACCAACCAGATGCATTGCTACCCCGCTGGCGTTCCACCCCTTCCACTGCAGCAGCAATGGCACTCCCCTGCTCAGCAGCCTTCTCCACCCTAGATATGGCATCATAAAGACATTTGGTGATATCCAGTATGGCAATGACTTCACCATTTTCCACAACAGGGAGGTGCCTGAATTTTCCTATCAGTCGAAAAAAATTAAATTATACCTCAATGAATATCTCAATTAATACAAGATGTACACACAGAATCTAATAGAAACATTTGCCCAATTCTTGCACCATCAAGCATGAATTAGTTAAAGAAACAGAAATAGTTATGGGGGCAAAAAAAGGAACCCTGAACGGCTGCAACAAAGAAGAAACATAATAAGGCCCTGATCGCCCCCCAAACCTCCCAAAAAAGAAAAAGAAAAAAATACCTGTAACTATAAATACTAGATCAGGTGAAGTTTTGGATGCAAATCAAACACCATTTTTTAGGTTAGGGGGGAGATATCATAGAATATAAAACAGAGGACAAAGCAATTCAAAGAGTTAAAATTGAAAGGAAAAAAAAAATTAAACAGCACGTTTAATAAAGTCTGATGTAAAAAATATAGACAGCCAGAAGATCAAAATGTGCACACAGAACTTTTACTGAATATCATTCTTCTCCCTGGATCTGAATAAAGATGAACATAGAACAAACTACCAAGAGGTAAAATGGAAAAGAAGGAATACAGAGAAGTATCTCTCAGCTTCAGGAAATTTGAGTGTCTTGGTTCTCCCTCCCAACCTCTACTCCGAAACCAAAACCCCCCCTCTATTATTTTCCTCTTATTATTTATACACTGTCATTTCCATTTCTCCCCCTCCCACAACTAACTAACTTTCTGTTAACATACACCTTTTTATTCGGGGTCTGCAGACATAGTAACCATAATATAAACGCAAACAACAGATTTAATAGTGCAAAGGAATATAAATCTTATTTAATCCATATCCTAGGGTGCAGACTTCAGTGCCATGCCATGCTACAAATCTCATGATCATAATGAAGCGTAAGCATCAATGTCCAAAACACATACATTTAATCTACATTGTAACCAAATCTCTTCTTACATATGAGATGGCGAGTAAAAGTGTTGCACAAAATGTATGAAATTAATTGAGCCCAGCAGAAAATAATTGTCATGGTATTATCCAATTGCTTAAGAAATGAACTCACTCATCCAAGCACAGGAATAAGCAAAAGTCCATACTGATATCCTAGTTTTATTTACCCAGCTAAAATCCAATAATAACAATGACATCAGCAGGAGGAATGAAGCTAACCTTGGACCATCTTCTGAAGAGCTTCGATGGCTAGTGTATCGGATGCCACAAATATAGGATTCCGAGTCATTACTTTTGACACTAATGTCTGTTCTGGTCGTAAACCCTCAGCTATAACTCTAGTAGCAATGTCCTGAGCACAAGATACACATGCTTGAAACATTTAATATGCAGTCTCTGAATGGATACAAGCACACAAGATACACAAACCTTGTCAGTCACGATTCCAGAGAGTAAAGCATTTGCATCAGTCAACAAAACAGCTGAAACACGTCGAGCTGCCATTCGCCGACATGCTTCATAAACTGTTGTCCCCTCGGATATAGTGAGAGCTTTTGACAACCGAAGCTTCTTCACCGTCCTTTCTCCACCATCAGACCTAAATAATTGTATTAATAAGCACAATCAAACAAAAATACTGATACAACAAATGACCTATCCATTAAAAGCTTTAATCAATTAACTAGAAAATCTATATATATATATATATATATATATATATATATAGAACTACAGGCAAAACTTTTCCAAGTGACTGCATCCTTCTAATTACATGTAGGAGAACCAATAAAACAAAAATGTCTACATGCTAACAGGTAGGGATATGCACACTCTAGTCTAGTTTAGTTTGAGGGTCAATCTTGAACCAAAACATACTTGAATCTCTATGGTTTGAACAAAATCAAACCGTAGTTCACGACTTGGACCTGTTTCATTCCACGGTTTATTGATGTTTGAAACTTTTACCCTATCAAATGTGAGAAATTCTTATATAGTCTCATGATACTACTACACCTAACGGTAAAGATTTAATCTAGATTTTATTATTCAATTTCAATATTACAAATTTAATTCAAGGACATGTATAGATATTTTGTTCACGTGTTATAATTTTAATGGACAGGGTGTAATTCTGTGGGGGAGTATATAAGAATTTCTGCTATCAATTTTACGAAGCAGGGAAACAACTTAGCTAACTACCAAAAAAAAAAAAAAAACGATAAGTGAACAGAAATTAGAAAATAGAATATAATAGTAACAACAGATAACAAAAACCAAATCTCTTATACTAGATTATATACAAAACAATAAATATATACAATCTATGATATCTATGTTAAATATAAACGGTTCAGGTCAATTTATAGGGATCGGTTTATCGTTAAATATAAAATCATAGAATCGTATCCGAAAATCTGGGAAGGGTTAGAGAGATAACGAATGAATGGTAGTATAGTACTCTTGAGCGGGAGGAGAAGAAGGTTTGCTAGAAGGTTCGCTGGCGATTCCGTTTTCGGACTTCTTAGGCATGGACGGAGGCCTTTTGTGAGAGCCACTGTTCCTCCTCGTTATGTGACCACTCATTTTCTCTCACAAAACGGAGACAGAGGTTAGGGTTCTTCTTCTCCTTCTTCTTCTGCCTCTGCCTCTGCCTCTCTTCTCCGTTACCACCACCACCACCACTTATTCTGCCTCTGCAACCCCCCTCTCTCTCTCTCTCTCTCTCTCTCTCTCTCTTTTCTTCTTTCGCGTAAAATAGAATTCCTTCTTTTTTTAATTGATATTTTTTCCTATCACTCAAAATTCGCACTAATTTTCAGTTTTTTTTTTAGAAAAATACAAATCTAAAACAAATGGACATGATTTCTATTTTGTTTTATTATTATAAAAATAGGACAAATTTTGGAGCTGTGGTTCGTGTGTGTCCACTTGTCAGGGACCTGAACCCCCAAGTTCCAGTGTATTTTGTTTTTTCAAAAGGAAAGAGGGTTTGGTTTTTCTTCCAAAGGAAATTATAGGTTAAGTTAGATTACATTTATTAACATTTTAAGTTATGTAATAGTTAGATTCTGATTTATGTAATAGTTAATAGGTTTTTCTTTTCTTTTAGCCCTCTGCTGTACTAAAAAAAATACAAAGTTATGAACTCGTCACTTTAAGAATTAGTTATATTTAGTTAATTAAAATTATTTTAAATCATAAAGTTTAATTGCTAACAACACTCTTCCAGATTTGATCGCCCTAAAGTGTTGACTTCCTTTAATAGATGCCTATAGTTTCAGTGGATGGATAAAAAATATATTAAGACACAAAACAAACATTATTCCATCTCATTACCTTTTAAGAAACAGTCGTTCTTCACCTTCTATATGGATTGAAGTGTTATGACCGACACTGAACTACAAAACACCGGAGGAAATAATGGGCTAACTAAAAAATTTAAAATCATAATAATTGAGTATAATGTTATGTCTTAATCCAAAATGTATTGTGTATATGATCCTTTGAACACTAATTAATTTATTTTTAATTAATATTGGATTACATTTTTTTTTTATACAATTGTTAAAATTGAACACATAATTTAATATAAATTATTCAAATTTCTTACCACTAAATCAATCCTAACGGCTCAATTGGATTACATTACTCGTCCCTTGTACTTTAATTTTTAACAAATTTCCTCTGAAATGTGAGACGAAATATTTATCTCTTCTCCTTCAACAAATAATGATGGGATAATTAAATTAAGAGTGTCGGTTCCACAATATGGGAATATGGGTTTGGCAAGCATAAATTGTTAGAAAATTGACGTTAAAATTATTGAGAGAATTATCCGTGTTCAAAAAGTTGTTTTCAATAATACATTAAGTTTTATGCAATGCACGTAAGAAACCAAAAATGAAATAATACGAATTTAAAGCGCATTATATGAAAATATATGATTATAACAATGAAAAATTTGAAACAAATGTTAGACATTGTGTCTTTAAAATAATTTGTCCGCTCCAGATTCATGAATAATTATCTCCAAAGATAGAACATATTATTTCTGTTTTTTAACTATGCTTTCATATATAACAACTTGATCGGACTCAACTTATATTTGATCAATTGCATTGGAGTAAAAAGATGCAAATGTAAAATATTGATGAAGGGAAAAAATCAAATCTCTTTATTTATAAAATAATAAAATGACATGATTTAAATGTCATTCATTCGACATAAAACAATACTTCCATTTCGTGACAAAAAGATACACTTTTTTAAATCAAATTTTTTATTTATAAAATTAATTAATTCCAACACAAATAACTGAATATTAATGTTCAAGCTCAGTTAAATCATTAGGCCTAGTACCACTTATTACAAAAAAAAATAGGGAGAGCTAAGAACAATAAACGTCCAACAAGAGGCGAGTTAGGAAAATATACATGAGAAGTGAATCCACTCATGTACTATTCTTTCCTTATTTTTTATTTTAATATTTGTTTATCTCATTTTTTGTCACCGTTACTTTTGTTATGAATGATTATGATCCTCGTTATATGAAATTACGCATGAAATCGTCCATTCTCGTATGAGTCGTATCTGTGCACGGTGCGGCAATCTAATTTTATATGAAAAACAGTATTTTATTTTAAAATATATGTGAAAAAGAAGGGTGATCATATCTAAATCAAAAAAACTAAAAAGTGATGTATGGTATATAAGCACCCTTAAATCTTAATAAATAAGAAACGGACAAGAGAGCATCAACTCATGCATGCATCTACCAGACCTCTATATGTTGAATTGAGATAATGAGATCAAAATTTGGTATATACAATATAGTAATTTTGATTTTAAAATTTGAGGTTGAATGTGACATGCTGCGGTGTATCATTCCACCTCGGTTATTTTAATGTTCATAAGATTCGTCTAAAATGTTAAATGTATGCATTATCATCAATCCATAAGTTTTTTTCACATTATCAAAATCAAATATTTAAAAAAGTGAACATTTTTATGTTGTTGAATGTATGCATTATCATCAATCATCATTGCAGCACATTATAATTTTTAAAGGAAACTTTATCAAATGGATATTCGGGACTACAACTTTCTCCTCTCTCTTTTTTTTTTTTTTTTTTTTAATATCTCCTCTCTCTTTTTTACACTAATTATAATTACCTTTTTGAAGCAAGTAATTTTTTTAAATATTTTCATAAATTTCAATATTTTCATACCTTTTTAAAGCAAGTAAGATTAATTTCAAGTGAAACAAGTCAATAATTAAAAATTTATGTAGCTCCCTAAATATGCCATCGTTGCCTTTGGAGTACAATTTCCTCTGACTTGAAAGAAGCTACAATGGGACAAGGTAGGTAAACATCTCTCTCCACATCATACCATGTGTGTGCGCCATTTTTTTTATATAAAATAATAAAATTATGTCTTGTACTTGTTTATATTAAGGAAAGGGAAATATTACTCTCCTTCAACATGAGATATCATCTCTCATTTTCTCTCTCTTCGATTTTCGTGCCCCACCTTTTTCTTTTTTTTTGAAATGGTGGGACCCACCTATTTTCTCTCTACAACATAAGATATCTATCTTATGTTGAATGAGAGTAATAAAACCCTAAAGGAAAATAGTTTTCTCATATATGAGGGGTCTCGTCTTGACTTTTTGTCTTATCACTTTTTATGGACCTCACTCGTGTATTATGTATGTAACATGAAAAAAAAATTCATGTAAAATGAGAGAATTAATTTCCTTATATAAAATATAAAAGTAAAAAATAAAATTATCTCTTGCGTACATAAAAATAAGTATAATTTATATTTTATTTTATTTTATATATCTCATACACTTTTATATATATATATATATATATATATATATATATATAATAAGAGAAAACATTTTCTCATGTTGCATGCGAATTCAATTCTCATGTTGTGACCCTTCAATTTGCGTACAAAGCTTTTTATTTTTTTAATAAATATGGAACCCACCACTAGTTATGTCACAACATGAGAATTCAATTCTCAACATCATAAAATCAAACTCCATAAAATAATATTATTTCTTATGAGAAATATCAGACTAAAAAATAAAACACCAATCCAATCTCACTTTCTCGAAAGCCTCAATCGGTCAGATAAAAAAATTTCCGTGGAATATATAAGGCTGCAATAAGAAGAACACACTTCCAAGTTCCAACGGCTCATTAATCTTGCAGTATACTCTTTTTTTATTCCGGTAAGCTAGTTGCAGTATACTTATTTTACAGATAAGTTGAACATTTTATTAATTTTAGTCAGTATTTAGTGCCTTTTGTTTAAAAAAAAGTTTATTTATATATGTAATATTGGTGGGTATTATAAGCTTTTATATTTTTCTATTTCTAAAATTGATTTTATGGTTATTTATCAGTTCCTGTATTATTATAAAGGAGATTGTTTTTTTATATTTTGTTGTAACTATACTTTTTCAAAATTATTGTTATTATTTAATTATATATAAATGAAAAAATTCAATAATTTTCACTTTACAGTTATAGTAATATCCAAAGAATAAGATTACCAAAAAAAAAAAATATCCAAAGAATATTCAATTTTTGATTTTTCTTTTTACAAGACTTTACAATTATTAGTGTGTTGAGTAATGCCAATCAATTTGCATTATTTTTTGTTTAAGATACAAATGATAAAATAGCGTCTAAAGTAAATTATAGCTATAAACTGAAAAGTTTAAAAGTAATTGAAGATAATTGTAGTTGAGGTTTAAATTTTTTTAACATCTTGTCTTCTTCGTGTTTATCTTTTAATATTTATATCATTAGTGAGAATGTGTTAATTTACAGTTTTATTTTATATGAGAAATATTTACACTTTCGTTCTTTTATAATTTTTCTTAACATCATTAAATGGGTAGTTAGTAATGGCATGAGGTCAAATGACAAATTATCAACTTTAATTTTAGACTTCAGCAAATTATTTATTCAAATTTTAACTTAGTAAATTAGTATTAATTATTTAATAATTCACTTTTTTATCATTCTCTTACAATTATTAACACATAACATATTAGTATGCATATGTTTATTTATATACACTTCATAACATTGAAAAGTAAAGTCATATAAAAACTTTATAGAAACAAATTGTGAAAATTGTGAATTGTTGCACTCTTGAATTTCAAATTAATAAATTGTATAAATTAAAAATTCAATGGGTAATTTATAAAAAAAATTAAAGTTAAAGTCGGTAATTTACAATTTGCTATAATGGTAACTTAAGGAAAAACAAAAAACAAAAATTAAACATTGCAATAAGGAATCTCGTACATGACAATGAATCCCTCATTAATACTTACTTTTAAAAAAAATACACATTTAAGAACTAATAATGTCAATTAAAATACTAGCAATTTGATGTGCTAATTAGAATACAAGTAAATTAAATAAAATATGTTTTGTATACATTATAAAACATCACATTATTTAATAATTTTGATAGTCTCACCTATTGAATAAAATATCATCATCAGTTCAAATAATAGTGTCAATGCAACTCAATAATTAGCATTATTATCTCTAAAAAAAAATTAACATTATTGTAATATTAATTAATCGATAGGACAATACAACCCCAAAGTCAAACACGTTAGGCAGGTTATTATTGTGTTGCTCTCAACTTGGTAAGACTGACATGAAAGTTTTTTTTTTTTAGTTACTGAAATTAGGAAAGCTATCCGTGTTAATTTTTGTTCCCATATTTAAAAGAAGAGATTCATTAAAAACAATATAACTTAAACTTAATTTTTGTGATGATAGGAATCTAATCACATACCACAAATAATATAAAGAACAAATAATTTAAAGTGGATTATACCCTTTGGTTTGGATAGAGTTTGGTCATAGGTCTGTAGTAGTAGTTGTTATATTCATAAACCATATGAAATATTAAAAATGAAGTAGAATTAGCAACCAAACGGTAAACATAATCATAAAAAATACTTGTACGCAATAACATAACCCGGCCAGTGCTGCATATATTAAGATTTAAGATAAGATAGAGATTGAGTATAAAAAACACATGAATATAACCGAAAGGCTCCAAACATACAACTAGAGGTGGCAAAGTGCCCGTCCGGCCGCACCCGACTATCGATCTATTAAAAAATGAGTTAGCTTGTATTGCTTCGCTTTTGAAAGTGGACTAAAAAATTCAGTCCGTCTCGTCCTGTTTGGCGGATTGACCCATCAGTTCGAGACATGTCTCGTCCCGCCTATATCTACTGTCAACCCATCAAAAATGAATCTTGACTTATTTTGAGATAGGTTAAAAAACTTAGTCCGAATTGACCCGCCAAGCCAAATCAGTTTTGTACGCCTACGTACAACATAATAAGGTTGCAAATTGTTAGTAGTGTGTAAAAAAAAAAAAGGGTGGGAAAGGTGGGAAGTCAGAAGGGAACTGTGCTCATGTCATCTCCAACAACAGTGGGTAACTTAGTATTACATGAAAATCGAATCAGATTTTATAAAGGTTTGTAGCGAGATCCTAAGACCAAAGAGCGGGAATAACGCTCTCTTCGTTTGAAAAAAACACACACAGAGACACACTCTGCCTCATTATAATTATTACCACCAAATCTCCGCAAAGTAAACAACACACAACTCAACACGACAGCTCCAGCAAAAAGATAAAACTAGCATTGAACTTTTTTAATGATTTTTTTTTTCTCTCCCCTCACATGGCCCTACCTACGTTACCCTCTCTCTCTCTCTCTCATAATTTCATTTTTTTGTTTTGTTTTGTTTTTGGTCCCAAAGAAACGTGTTGGATAATATTTCTGAATCTTCGCATGATGTTTCTTCAGCTCTGAAATTCCACTTACATTCCTCTCTGATCTTCGGAGCTTGTCTCTTCTCTGCCTCATTCAATTTTCCACCCACTGGGAAGGTACTAATATTTTTCAATTGGGTACTCATCACACTTCTTTTTAAGCAATCTTGTGAGTGAAAACTGAACTGGGTCACTCTCTCTCTGTTCATATTTTTGCAGATATTTTGACACCCACAGGATATGCCTCTTCATTAACCCCTCAATTCTCTGTGTTGAATTCAATGGCGTCAAATTGGGGAGTCCTTGGTAGGTGCCTATCTGTCAGAGGAGTAGTTGGAATTTTGAGTCTAAAGTAATAGCCGCTAGACCTTTCATTTTTCAATGCCTCTTAACAATCCCTCATTTTTTATTTTTTTTTGGTGTTGTGTGATCAGTGACAGTGATCCCTTTCAAGCTTCAATTCAAAGCACTACCCTTTTTGGAAAAGTTAATAATGGAGGTAGATGGGTTGTGCTAGGAAGTGAATTATAAGCAAAGCTTATAACCAACCACCTTCCGTTTTATTTAAAATTTGATTCTGGTTTCAGTCTGATATTTTTTTCCTTTCTTTTTCCTTTTCCTGTGGGGGGTTTTTGCTTGCAGATTTTGCCAGCTATCTTATTAGTGTCATACCAATCGAGTCTTGATTGCGGTGTAGATTCCCAGATCAAGTTCTGAGTTTATGTCTTGTGTAATAATGTTGTAGGTAAAGTCATTGTGAGGGAATAGAGGAGGTGCTTCTTTTGCCTGTGTTGTATTTGTAGATGGACCGAAGGAGTTGGCTATGGCGCAGGAAGTCATCTGAGAAAAGTCCAGGTGAAACGGAAAGTTCTGGGTCAATATCATCTCTTTCAGAAAGATTCTCTGATGATCAGGTAGGAAATGGTGGAGGCATAACAGCGTTTAAATTAACTATGTTTTGCCCCTGGATAGCTCTTATACTTGGTGTAATAGATTATCAGGGTTGTGGCCATTTTCTGAATTGAAAATCATGATCTTTGTTGAAGGAGATGAGGAAGATAGAGGGAGGGATGTGGCTTCAAGACTAGATTAATAAAAAATTGTACAATTTTGAACAGAGAGTATGACCTTATCCAAGGTCTATATCTGGAAACAAGAAAAAGGAGAGGTTATCATGTTACCGACATTGCAAATGCTTAGTTGAGTACTTGAGTCAATAGTACAACAGACTGGAATAATAACTCTCATTGTTCATACTGTAACTTGAGATAGTTTGTAATGTCTAGGCAAGAAGAAAACAATGGTTATTGCTTGGTCTGTAGGTTTCAGGTGGACTTGTTCCTTTTCAAAGCATACAGTATTTCATCATTAATTTAGTTCTATTTAAATGTGAGATCTCTGCATGTTCCAGTAATTGTAAAGTTGGAAAAATAATTTTATGAATCTGATTTTCCCCCCCATGTTGTAAAGGTATATCCAACCCAAGCTACTCTATCACCAGAAGTCACGTCTAAGGCTGCACCAAATGAAGAAGTTGGTACACCCAAAGAAAATGAAGAAGTTACTGACGTGAAGACTCTTACAGACAAATTAACAGCTGCTCTGCGAAATATTAGTGCCAAAGAAGACCTGGTAAAGCAGCATTCCAAAGTTGCTGAAGAAGCTGTTACAGGTATTTACTGTTTGGCCCTTTTCATGTATGTCACTGGAAGTAGTGCTACCTCAAATACATGTTATCACAAAGAAATGTGAAAACCCCAAAAAGTGATAACTTTTAGGAGATCACAAAGGGAAATTCATGGGGAAGAGATTCTTGATTTTTTTAAATAATGATTTGGGCACTTTTTTTTGACCATATATTAAAATCATTGATTCTTCATGCTGTACACTTATTACGTCTCTTAAAGATTTTTTTCATCAACGTGCATCTTGTATATCAATAATTTTTCCTTGGTTTGGTAGATGAGTTATCAAATGAGAAACTATCTATCCTTTGCATCTGCGATTGACTTTATTGTTTTATACTTCTTAAAGGGCTGACTATTTTGCAGCTTTTGAAAGATGATATCTAATATTAAAGCTAAACTTGTCTATACATGATCCATGGGTTAAGCTCATATTAGGACTGCCTAGTAAGATGTGCTTTATCTGCTTGTCCATGGAGCCATGACTATCATAATCTTCTGCTTTAATGAACAATTGGGAAGTACATCCAAAATTCTTTGAAAATATATGTGTTTTGCCAGAAAAACCTACGCTAGTTAATTGACTAGAAGTCTTTTATATTGGCTTTTCATTTTATTTAAGGCTGGGAGAGGGCTGAAAACGAAGTTTTGTCTTTAAAACAACAACTTGATGCTGCAAGGCAGAAGAACTCAATTCTTGAAGATCGAGTTAGTCATCTTGATGGGGCACTAAAAGAGTGTATGAGGCAACTTCGGCAAGCTAGAGAAGCACAAGAGCAAAAGATCCATGAGGCTATTGCGAATAATTCTCATGACTGGGAATCCAAAAGATCTGAGCTTGAGGGGAAAGTTGCTGAGCTTGAGGCTCAACTTCAAACAGCTAAAGCAGATGCTGCAGCATCAATTCATACTGATCTTCACCAGAGACTTGAGGCTGTGGAGAAAGAAAATTCAGGTCTTAAACTTGAGCTACAATCTCGACTTGAGGAACTAGAATTCAGGATCGTTGAGAGGGATTTGAGTACCCAAGTTGCTGAAACAGCAAGCAAGCAACATTTGGAGAGTGTCAAGAAGGTTGCTAAGCTTGAAGCTGAATGCCGTAGACTGAAAGCCATGACTCGTAAAACATTTTCCGTTAATGATCATAGGTCTTTGACTGCATCTTCAGTTTATGTTGAGTCCTTCACAGATAGCATGTCAGATAGCGGAGAGAGGCTACTGGCAGTTGAAAGTGATATGCGTAAATTAGATGGCTGGGGGATGAATGAATGTGAGCCAAGCCATTCTGATTCATGGTCATCTGCTTTAGTTACAGAACTTGATCAATTTAAGAATGAAAAGGCTATTGAGAAAAATCATATGGTCCCTTCAACTGAGATCAATCTCATGGATGACTTCCTTGAGATGGAAAAGCTTGCTGCATTGGCAGATACAGAAAGTGGAAGCAATTTTGTTGGGGCAGGAGTAGCATCAGATCAATCTAAAGTTGTTCAGGGTACAATGAAAGCTGAAGTGGAAGCTATGATTCAAAAGAATGCTGAATTGGAAAAGAAGCTAGAGAAAATGGAGGCAGATAAACTTGAGGTTGAGATGGGTTTAACTGAGTGCCAAATGCAGCTTGAGACATCACAGAGTCGGATAAGGGAAGCAGAGTTGAAGGTAGCAGAGCTTCAAACTCAGTTAACACTTGCAAACAAATCAAATCAAGAAGCACATGAAGAACTAAAAGCAACTAAAACAAAGGTGGACATAGCTGAGTCAAAGCTCAAACTCACTCAAACCGAGGTAGAAGAACTGATTTCAAAAATCCGTTTATTGGAGGAAGAGATTCAGAAGGAGCAAGCTTTGTCTGTGGAGAATTTGATCAAGTGCGGGAAGTTGGAGGATGAGCTTTCGAGAATGAAGCAAGAAGCTCAAGTTAAGCAAGAAACCGAGATATTGCATAAAGAAGGTGTTAATCACGATTTGAAATTAAAACAGGTCAGTTTGCTAACACTTATTAGGAACTCTTTGTATTTTAAGCCCTCTTTAGTGATTTTGTATTGTAGAAACACGCTAGCTAACCTTCTGGTATTTATTTTTTATGATGAAAATTGTCCAGTGCAATATGCATAAACTCGATTCTTTTAATATTTTTTTGTTTGTTTGGTGGAACAATTTCCATGTGTGTGTGTATAGTGAAACCTTATATTCATGGTCTAGCAACAAATCTTTTAGTTGTTCTTGACTTAGTCCAATAACTTCTTAGCTTCCCGAGTCCAAACTAATATTTACTAGCATGACTTGTTGATCATACTTTGCCTGTTTAAATAGAGATAATGATACTAGCATGTTTCTCACATATCTGCCCATTTTAACCAAGGCTTTGCAAGTCCATTTCCTTCGTGTTGAAGTTTATATATCAAATATAAATGTAATTATATATTATATTTGTGAGCATTTGAAGCTAAATATTTGTTGGAAATGCAATTAGTGCCTAAATCTACTCACCCCACTAGTTCGAAATAAAGGTGATGTTGATGTTATTGTTGCATTTGATGCCTAAATTGCTAAATACCAGTTATAGTTGTTGATTAAATGTCTTGCATTAACCTTTTTGTTCTTGTCTTCTCATATAAAGAGCTTGGCATCTTCTATTGCAGGAGAAGGAACTTGCATTGGCGGGTAGTAGATTCGCTGAGTGCCAGAAAACCATTGCATCTCTTGGACAGCAATTAAAGTCCCTTGCAGCCTTTGAAGACTTCCTACTTGATCCTATGGAGGAGTTAACTTGTGAAGTGACACCAGGTCCCCAAAACGTTGGTGAAAAATTACATCATAGTGATTTGTGTTTGCCCAAAAGAGAATCTGAGTCACCCATTTCGTTAAACTCATCTATTATCCATGAGAAAAGACGTAATGGCTTTGGTAAGTTTATCCCTAGAAGCAAGAGTGTAAGCAGGAAAGGAAGTCACTGAAAATTATGTGAAAGGGAAGTGGATAAAAGATAAGGCTGTGTTGTAAATTTGGTTTATTCATTCTTATCTCCTGGATTCAATCTCTATGAATCCAAAGTAATGTATTTACATAAATAGAACTGCATGAAGATGTGTAAAATTGTTTAAAGCAAAAATAGTAATACATAAAGTCCAAATTTTGATACGTTTACTTCTGTCTCGTGCTATTCAACAATAAGACAATTGCTATCCTATATTCAAGGGGAAATTATTTGTACCTTTTTAGGATAAAATTACAACTTTCAACGCCAGTACTCATCTCCTAGATCACTTTATGTTAATCAGTTATGAAAAAAAAACCTAAATAAATAAATAAATAAAACTTGTGTTGTAAGGAGCAAAATAAAAAATAAAAATAAAAGTGGGGTGAGTTAGCTGGTAAAAAAAAATTAGTTTATCCTTTATAACATAGAATTAATCAACTCACATTCACTTGGGAACTATTTGTATTTAATTGTTAGTGCATTGTGGAAAGGAAAACTTGAAAATAATAGTGGTAAGGAGTTTGCATGAGGTGATAAGTTTAAACTTCAGTGTTATTATTGAATAAAAAAACATAAAAACAGAAGGAAATAAAGAGCGTTAAATCAGAAACACAAGCCAAACCATGATGCTACTACGTCCTACTCCTACTCGTACTCGTTCCCCACACACGTGAGTGATGAGCTGCGTATCACTAAAACTAGCTGTGTGTATCATGTTGGACAGAACATCCACGAGCCCGATGGACCACTATATAGGGACTCAGCAACTTGGGTCACTCTTATTGATAATTTAAATTACAAGTCAATGATTTTCACATTGAAAATAAATTGACTAAAGTTATGACAATATAAATGAAAAGTTTTGTATACATAAATCTATGCTATGCTATATTAAGGGTTTTTTTTTTTTTTTTTTTTGTATATTTGGTTCGTATTTATTAAATGAGAAGGCTCCTTCCAATTGTTGGTTGCCGCTGAGATGCAAAGAGGCGTTTGATAAAGAAAAAATATTTTTATTTTGCAGGAATATACTGAAAAAGTGACTTTGTCAAAATTATTATCAAAAAAATATTTGATAAGCCAAAAAATATTAGAAATGTTGGTTCAAAATTTTTGATTGGTTGATTGTATGAGTCATGAGATTATGGGGTAATTTTACAAAATTAATCTTAATTTTTGTTAAAAACTTTTCCAAGTTGCGTTGGCTGATTAATGGCTCAGAAATTGATGCTGCTGCTACTCACGTTTGCACACTGTTGGTTCTGCTCAGAGCGGGTTTTTGCTCTAATTCTAAGAAAAGCTTCAAGCGTTTTGCTGCCCCACCATCCCCGTGGTTTTTTTAGCAAATATTCTCATCGGGTGAGAATCCAAAAATACCACCCATCCCCGTGGTATTTTTACCTAGGATTTTGCTTCACAAATTAAAAACGTGGATAAGTAAGATTTTTAATAGCAGTTTGTGGGATTTTAAAATTTATCTTTCTATCAAACACCCCCAATGGAAATGATTTTTTGACATAAATATGTGCTAGAAAAGTAGTAAAAAAATAAAAATCATAATAAAGAGCAATTATTTTGTCACGCATTTTAAGATGCATCGTAGTTATTAAGTTTTTTGGGTTGTTAAAATATTGTGTATCTGCACATCAACCGAGATCAATTGGAGGAGTATGATTATGTGCAACATACATCATTTTCTCAAACGAAAGAAATAACATTTAACTATCAAATCTCCCACTCACTATCAACTGAGGTTCTATGGTGTAGTGGTTAGCACTCTGGACTTTGAATCCAGCGACCTGGGTTCGACTCCCGGTAGGACCTCTTGATAAATTATTTTTTGCAAAAACAGATATTGGCTTGTCTCGCTTAACTTTCCATCAAGTGATTAAGTTGTCTTAACAAACAAAAAGAGAAACTGACAAAGACAAATGAATAAAAGGACACAACATGGTTCTGCTTTTGCTTGAAAAGACATGCTCCTGCTAGGGTATAGTGTATGCTTCCATCTTCCTTCTGATATATCCATGTCTGTTTAATCTTTTCTTAGCATATCATAAAAAATCTCTGGCTTTCTGTATTCTGACAAGCAGATGGCCTGAGATCATAACAGCACCAGGATGTTAGTACTTAAGTTCACTAAATAGAACAGTATAAAACTGCATTTTATTGAGCTTGGATCACCTTTAAGAAATATATATATATATATATATATATATATATATATATATTAGTTATACATACTATCATTTTCCCTTACTATTTTTTACTACCAATTTTGTTACTGTCAGATCAAAATCAAATCAACCCTTACAAAATAACATAAGTGAGAACCATTGAGTTGATTTTGATCCGACAATAACAAAGTTGGTAGTAAGAAATAGTAAGAGAAAATGTTAGCAAGTATAATCATCCTGGGTTCGTTTTTTATACTGTCAATGTATATAACTTATTTACATTGAGCCCAAAACGACATTGTTTTGAGGCAGAAATCAAAGTATTTTTGTAATTATAATTTATTTCAAGGTTATAATAGTCTTTTTCATTATGATTTTTTATTTTTTTTCAACCCAAAAAGACGTCATTTTGGGAGCGAATATAGATAACTTACCATATTTACCGTAGAAACATTAAAGCCTATATATATATATATGGGCTTATCATTTCTGCAACCGTCGTAGATAACACTCTCTACAGCTGACACAGAAAAGTGGGCCCCACGACGACAAGGATCTGGTGCCGTATCCTAGGATCCGCACGCGGATCCTGGCTAGCTGTAGGTGCAGTGGCTGCAGAAATTATTTTGCCTATATATATATATATATATATATATATATATATAGGCAAAATGATTTCTGCAGCTGCTGTACCTACAGCAAGCAAGGATCCGCGTCCGAATCCTAGGATACGGCAACGGATCCTGAAAAAAACTCAGGATCCGTTGCCGTATCCTAGGATCCGAACGCGGATCCTTGCTGCTGTAGGTACAGCAGCTGCAGAAATGTTAAGCCCTATATATATATATATATATATATATATATATATATATATATATAGGGCTTATCATTTCTGCAGCTGCCGTAGATAACACTCTCTACAGCTGACACAGAAAAGTGGACCCAACGGCGTTTTAAAAAAAAAAAAAAGGATCTGGTGCCGTATCCTAGGATCCGCACGCGGATCCTGTCTAGAAATCATTTTGCTTATATAGGGTAAAGCTACCGTAACATAATCTAAACAATTTTTCCTACTCAAACAAAAATGCATGTGGGTCCCATACATGTAATAAAAACAAAAAATAAAAAATGTTGGTGCGGAAACCAATGGGTCAATAGGTAAAAAAAATTATATCATGTTACATAATACTAGTTTTCCCCATATATATATATATATGTATGAAAAAATATTATCTATTACCTTTTTAACTAAATCTGACCAGTAAGACATATTTATAACCATAAAACTATTCTTTTTTTCTTTCTATTCAGATATTGTCTACTAATGTGACAAGATAGAAAATACAATTTTCAATGTCTTAACATGGTCACATATGCTACGTAGTAGTGGTTACACTCGTAGTTATAAAGCAAGTAATTATTTAATAACCTGCATTGCAAATGCCAAGTGGATCAGTGTTGCTTCAGCCCAAGGCCTTCCTATAAACTGAAGACCAATAGGCAATCCCAATTTATCGTATCCAACCTGTGATGAAGGATGATAAAGCTATCATTGAATCTGAGTTCTTAAAAATTAACTATAAGGATGAAACTAACATTTATGTAGTAACTATGTAAAAGGAAAATGGGTTATGTTTATCTCATTTTACATGAGATAAACATCTCTCCTACACACACAAAAAGGAGTTGGGTCCCACCACTTTTTTTTTCTCTCTCATCTTACATGTGGGTCCCACTTATACCTTTATTTCTACGACATGAGGTATTTCTTTTCCTACAACATAAGAAAAATATATCCCAAGGAAAATATAATATAATCATACCGCAACAGTCACAGCGGGAAGTCCAAGGAAGTTTCCTGATATGGAATACCGAACAAGTGCAGCTGAAAAGGTGGCAAAAGGGATCAGATTTTGATAAACATTCGGGTATTTATGCTACCAACATCTTCAAAAGTAACATGAAGAGTACTTCAGTGTCACTACAAGTATGAATTTCATCTATACCTCCGTTGATATAGTCTAGTTCACCAGTCTTAAGGGCATCATCTTGAATCGGGTATGCAGTTACACTGCTTATAAACATTAGGCATATGTTACCTAAGAGAAAATTGCTACAAGGCATTCTGTTAAGTTTGAGAAAATGGGACAAACCCTATTGTTGGTGACACAATGACATCTGCTTCAGCAAATATTTTCTTGTGAAATTGCAACTGGCGATTCCTGTTCATAATTTAACAAACTTGCATCAGTTTAAAGTTCTACAATATGATTATAGTCAAACACAAACTGCTTCATATGTGGCTTCATTTTATTGAGTTTAACTTTCATTACCTGTATTTCTCAACCTAATTTTTCATGTTACTAATAAAGAAAACTAGTTCATAATTTACCTAATTTTCTGAGCTTTAATATACTCCTTGCTGCTGAAAGAACCATAGATGTTAAGTGCTACCCTTGCATCCCATCCTAATTCTGCAAAATGTCTTTGGTAATAATTTTGTAATGTCAGCAATCATAGAAGGCAATAAAGGAAGAAAGTCAAGAGTTTAAGATGACATACTTTTTTTCTCCAAAAGAATCAAGCGCAGTGGAACACTCTGATCCAATTGTTACGTAATGTGCCAGGCGCATCATTTCTATTTCTGGTAGAGTGACTTCTATGGTCTTGTATGTTTAAAATAAAGTTGGCAGGTTCGTAAGTAATCACTATGCTGTTTTTCAATGAAGGGTTAAGTAATTGTATTAAAAGCTCTTGGGGATTTTCTGTTTTTAAAAATTGTTGCTTCTTCCAAATTCACATCAAATATTCAAACCGCCTAATATTTGTTAAGCATGATAATAAAGTCAACATTTCAAAGCTTTTGTTTTTATGGTTAAATTTTGCAGTACCTTCCAACCATAATGATCCTGAAGTTTGCTCAAAGCATTGGAGCAGCATATTCTTACATCATCACTGGAATCATCAAACCACTAATGGATTGAATTAGTGGTTAAAGGACATAAATGATGTTAGAACAACCTACTTTTTCAATTTGTGGGAATGAATAATCAATATATTCAAGGCAGGGAAACGTGTTTCTAACCTTCCCATATTTTGCCAATTTGATGTCAGTGATGGACCTTGTCAAGGGCAGCAGTGGAAGATTTATCTTGGTCTAAGGTATTACATAAAATATTTTCAGAAGTTTGAAGAGATAGTTAAATTCAGACCAGTTTGTTGAACTTGGTGTAAATGTAATCACAATCATCAGCAATGTTATATTTGAAACATTGAAACAAGTCAACTATGAAATTAATCAGTGATTAAAATCATTTAGAATTTGAAAAAGCAAGTTCTTACAAGTATACTAGAGGGCTTATGGGATGGAATTTCACCACTGATAGCTGCATAACTATAAATAGTGAAATATTAGAAGCTGTAAAACTTATATTAAAACTTCCTTGAAGAAAAAATATCATAGAAAAAAGGTACTAACGCGATCAATGCATCCTCAACAGTTCCTGCTAGTATTCCAACCATCCCAACTGTCCAGTTCAGAGGAAGAACTCTGAATGTAGCAGAAGATCATTATTCTAAATCATTACAATCCTCCTAGTATATTTAAACATGACAAAACATAATTGAATACCAACCCAGAATGAGGTACACGATCAAAAGTTGGCTTCAAACCAACCACACCACAAAGAGCTGCAGGCATCCTCACAGAGCCTGAAATGGCATGCAAATAAAATATTAATTCACCAGCTTTTGTTTTCTCTATGTAAATTGTAGAATGAAATTTCATTCACCTACTGATATAGACTTATCTAGTAAGTTCATATCACTTTGGCTTAAACATAAATATCATAGTAATGTTTCTCTCAGGAATACATAGTGTAATTTGCAAAAATTTGTAAAAAAAATTTGTAAACCGATCCTTCCCCACGTTTATAAGCAATAATGAATGATAAGTTCATTGACCTTTCATCTGCTAATATAAATAAAATACCTCCCCCATCAACACCAAGGGCAATAGGGCACAACCCTGCAGACACCACAGCAGCAGATCCACTAGAAGAACCTCCTGCAATCTTATTGATACCGTATGGGTTTCTAGTAGCCCTACAAAAGTAAATTCATTAAGGTATAGTTCAGAAGACACCAAAGATGTGGCATAATGTGAATATAAGTTGTATAACACATGGTTTCATACCCGTAATGTGGATTGATACCACTAGTTCCAGCCCCAAGTTCATGCATATTAGTCTTCCCAACAAGTATGGCACCACATAACCTTAAACGCTTAACGCAGCAAGCATCATCTATACAAGGTCTTTGTTTGTGCAGCCACTTTGTACCTCCTAGAGGACACCATTTTTAGATGCTTACGTGAATAATGAAATAAGCAGCTAAAACATTTGAAATTTGAATACACTGACACGTTAGTGAAAAGAATAACACATTGCCACTACCTGTAGTCGGATATGGCAAACAATCTATTTCATCCTTGATAGCAACAGGAACTCCGTCTAGCACAGAGATAGGTTCCCCTACAAAAACAAAATGCACCAATTGAGTATCTAAAGAGGGTTGAGTACACATCAACATAAGTATATGATTGAGAAGAAAGCTTGAAGATGCACAAGCAATCAAAGCCACAAAATTATTACTAACACATTGCAAAAAATGATATTGCAATTTCTGTATTACTTCCATTGGTAAATTATTCCTTTTTAGAGCTCCAAGTTTAGAAAATAATATTCCTCAAACTTACACAATGAGCACTTATAAGTTAAAACTTTGAGTAGTTTAAAAAGATAAGTTGCATACATCTTACTTTTGGATTCTAATAGCAAATGAAAACTACTCACACGTGAGTTTCAATAACACTATTAGATAGTATCATCTAAAGATCCAAGGGTTAAGTCTTATCATTTTGAGTTGACACTTGAATTGCTATAAAGCACCTTTCTGATACCGAAGAGTTGATTCATTTGCTTGTCTTAGTATCTCATCAGCATTGTAGTTAATAAAGAATCCCATTTGGAGTGGAAGCTTTGATGATTCACCAACAGCAGCTATAAATCGCTCTGCAACCTATGCAAATCAAGAAGAAAGCTAATGAACGGAAAAGTGCATCAGAATTAATAGCAACTAGAAATATGAAGGGCTTGTGGCTGTAACAATCACACAGATATCAAAGAACAAAATGACCTTGTAAAAGCAAGCTTTTTAATGTAAAATTTTGAAGAATAAAACTTTATGCGAGCTGGATTTGATGAGTTAACACAATAGGACGAGGACATGTTAAAATAATATCTAAGAGATGAAATACCATGCGTGGTGTTATATCTCCTGAGTTGTAGGCTCTGGAATAGTCCATTATTGTCCAGCGACAGAAAGAAGAATTTGTTCCATTAAGTGCTTTTTCTGAAGATGTAGGTAAGCAATCTATTGCAAGTTGAACTTGCTCTGGTGGAGTTAAAGCAGAATCTAAGGATTTAACTTCTTGTTCTTTGTGGTCTACAAGTATAAACTGAAATCAGCGATCCACTTTGTATTAAGGATATTCTGAATTATGAGCAAAATTTTTCAACGTATGAACAATAAGCTATTTTAGTTTATTCAAAGATAAATACACATCCAACACAAAATGATTAGAATAACATCCATGTCCATAATATCATGTAACAAATCTCTCACTTTTGTACATCATCTGGTGGAAAAAACCTAGTGAAAAACAACAAACCTTCAAAATGATGTAAGGGAACATAGAGGGGTGACTCTTCTAACTCTGCATTTGTAACAAGCTGCAAGAAAAAAAAAAATTACTGAGAATTGGGAAAAGAGAAATGCTGCTTAAAGTTATATCCGCATGTCCAGTCTCTCAAGCATGAACTTAAAGAAGTAGTAGAAAGTGTTATTATAAAATGAGGATGAAATTCTTCTTCAATTGGAATAAAATTTCATGAAAATGGAAAGCAATGGACTATGAACCAAGAGCATACCTTATGGATAAGATTGTTTCCCTTCAATATATACAATAGCAAAGCTCCAAATATTGGAGACTCCAAGAACCAAGTGAAAATCTTGACCAATATTCCAGTCATGCGGGGAGCTATAATTGAAATTTTGATGATAATTAACCATTAAGACTTACAAATAAAAGATTCTGATACAAATATTGAATTCTAAACTTGACAAATCAATTCAAAACTGCAGACAACATATTCATTGTGAACTAACACACAGCATATTCATAACCTTCTATGATTCTAAAACTCCTCTGCATCCGGCCAGAGAGTTGTAAATATTACAATCAACAAAGTGAACCATATGAAGCTTTCCATTAAAAAAAAAAAAAAAAAAATCATACCAAGAAAATGAAAACAATTCCATGTCATACCAAAATCAGGATAAATAGAACAAGCAGCAAGAAATGGTAATAAATGACATTAAGAACCTTTCACATTGGCTTGTAGATAGAATTCACTGCTATCAGGGCCTAAATTGACATCTTTAACGGGCCTGTAAACCATACCCTTACTTTTGAACAAACCCATTAATCTAAAAAAGTTGCTCTTTGGAAGATGAACAGCAAAATGGAGAGAGCATGGGGTTATCAACAAAATACATTACATATTATAGGAGTAGTAGGCGGAGACTGCAAGAGGAACAAAACTGTAATTGTCATGTTGATGGATAGGGTCTGGTATGACAACTAGAAAACAAGTCATTTTCATTGACAGGTTATGAGAGAAAAACAAAGAACTCAAACATAATATTCCTTATCATGCTTATATAGTCAGATTCTAGAATGGTTTTTTTATTTCTTTTGACAGTGTAGCTTTGGCTGCATGCTGAAAATGTCTCCAATTCATTAGCATACTACTACTGGCTCTTTCTAGTGTCTTCAGCTATAAGGTTCTTCTTGTTTCTAATCTTTTTTATTTTATTGTTTCTTGTCGTTGCAGGATTACTGTAGATTACTTTATTATATCAATTGTTTGTATGTGCCATGTGGTGGACCAATGGAAAAAGATTGTTGAATATGATGTTTGTTTTTATTTTTGCAATTTGCAATTCTTATGAGCCAGCCATAACAGGAAACAATTCTTGGTTTGGTGGAATTGCATTAAACAACATTGATGAAACATGGGGGCTATAGTTTCCTGCGGAGTGAGTGGTTACTACTTACTATAGGTATATTATTGTACATTTTTAACATTCTAGTTGATATTATATTGCAATGGACAAGTAGCTAGTGCAACTTAAGGGGACAGTGAGTTGTGACGCTCTTCCTTATATAAATACTTCTGCAGACCTTTTTTTTTTTTTTTTTTTGTATAAGTTGAATAAATCAATAACAAATATATTATCAACTTTACATTAAATACTCACATGAATTTTGTATTATGTAATAATATATTTATTGTTAATTGATTTAGTTTCAATCTTAGCTAAATATTTTCTACGCAAAGCTTTCAGAGGTTAACTGTAATAAAGTAGGGTTTTATATTTGTTATGTTACATAACATAACTCTACTTTCCTACACACACAACAAAGAAGTGGGGTCCACATATTTTTTTCTCTCTTTCATCATTTCACTTTCTCTCTCTTTTGTTGTGTGTGTAGGAAAATAAAGTTATGTTATATAACATAACAAACATAAAACTCAATAAAAGTATATCCGTAGATAATAAATTCGGCCATTTAATATCTGCCATAATATTCGTGCAAAAGTTTTAACGTAGTACTTGAAAAGTATCAATGGAATACTTTTCTCATATACTGTATCCCTAAAATAGGCTCTTTGACTAAATAGCTCCCTGACCTTGTATCAATTTGATAATTGATTCTGATATATTATGAAGGAAAAATATTTTTTTATGTTGATCAGAATTTAATTCTTATGTTATGATTTTTTGATTTACGTGTAAATTTTTTTTTCTCTTTTTCTGTTTAATAAATATGAGGTCCACTACTAGTTGAGTCACAGATGAGAATTCAATTATCATGCAATGTGAAAAAATCAAATCTCAAAAAAAATCTCTATAAAGATACAGAGTTCATAGGAATGAAAATCAAGAAAAGGGAGATGTTTGATTATAATGTGATAGGTTGTTGGAAGATTTTTAGCTAAAAAAACACAATAATGATGGGATAAAGAGAGATAATGGAGCTAATAAGATGAGGCTAAAATTATATTTTTTAAAAAGTTGTATAATCTTCTAGTTTTTATTTTTTCAAAAGCAACTAACCATTGGCTAAAAAAAGTAACATTTTTTTAAAAAAAAATTGAATTATGATTTTTTAAAAAAATTGTTATCCTTTACATCTAAAATTTCTTAAAAGGATTTTTTTAAAAGTAATTTATTTAGGAAAAAAAAACAGCCCATCCAAGTAACACTTACTCGGAAGAGTGACCATTTTGTCATATTTGGCAAAAAAATTTACCAGACTGCCATGCCAACAGTAAATTTTGTCAAAATGTCACGCTGCACCCTTAGCCGTCGTTGAAGAAGTCTGAAAATATAACTAATTCACATTATCTTATCTTAACTCTTAATAATTTTCAGACTTCTTCAACGACGGCTAAGGGTGCAGTGTGATATTTTGGCAAAATTTACTGTTGACGTGACAATCTGATAAATTTTTTTTGTCAAGTGTGGCAAAATGGTCACTCTTCCCACTTACTCATCCAAACAACGTGATTCGATCTAAGTCCGGCACACACCACGCCTTGTCAAGGCAATATATTGGCGAGAGTTAGAAAAATTTATAAGGGGACAAAATTACAACGTGTATTATTCATGACTATTTATATCACAAAAAATAAAAATATCTTTTTTTTTTTTTTTTTGATAACAATAAAAATATCTTTCACAAGTAAAGAGTTGTACAAAATTAGAAGGAGACAATTACTGTTTATATAACACAAAATTAAAATAGCACTTATAATTAAAGATTTATAAGAATTTAAAAAAAAATTATCCTTCGCCTTAATCCCTCGTTCACTTCACCACGTGAACTCGTGAAGTGATGGGAAATATTTTTAGAGGTGACAATATGGGTTGGCTCGTTATCAACCCGATAAAAATGAGACGAGATGAGTTGCCCCGCCATTGAATATGGATTGAAAAAATGAACCACTTCATTTTATGGTGGGTTGGCAGGTCAACTTGCCCCGCCCTTGCTTGAACCCGTTTTGATCCATTTTTAAGTGGGGTAGATTGAAAACCTCAACCCAACCTGTCCCGTTTTGGCGGGTTGACCTACCAGACCAAATCCATATTGCTACCTTTAAATATTTTAGAGGGCTCTTTCATCAAACAGGGGTTTTTACTCTTTTAATTTTTCTATCTGGTATTCGATTCCCAATATTTATCAACGAGAGTCGTTTAGTATGGGGGGATGAGTCCCGCACCCTCCCCTCTTTGAACTAAGGCATTTTTTTTTCAAGTAAGTGTCACGACCCCTTGGGGAACTCACACGGAATCCCAGCCTTTCACTCATTCCTCATTCCGCTTCATTCATTAAAATACTAAACACTACTTATTAACCACTAAATATTAAAAATTCAAAGAGTGAAGTTGGAGTAAAAATATCACTCTTTCTAATTTTGTTATAGTAAAGGTAGTAATAAACGAGGAATAATTTTGTTATCGTGAAAATAGTAATAAACGGGGAATATTTACTATACATCTAAATAGTAATTTTCTAATTTTGCAATAATTTTATAATTACTATTTTTACTACATAGTAATAATTTTGTTGCAGTAAAAATATGTTGATTGATATTTAGAATTTATTTTAAATTAATGAGTTAGTGAATTGTTGTTATAATTTTTTTAATTAATTCTTTTTTTATCCTAATATTGGCGTGTGTAATTAATAATAGGGATTTGAACTTTTTATGTCACACAAGAAGTTAAACTTCTGCAGCTGACCCCAAGAATTGTGAGGTCCATCATCAATTTTTTTTTTAAAATAAAAATAAAATGTTGCACACTGATCAATACCTTAGTATCTGGAGAATACACTTTTGCTTGCAATTGATTGACAAGTGTATTCCCCTTAATAATATGTAGAGATTTTACATAATATTTAGTAGTTAATGAGTAGTGTTTAATATTTTAATAAAGGGGTTTATATTCATCATGACACATGATACAAACATTTTTCCTACACATACAATATTTTGAGGGACTCGCATTTTTTGAAGCAAAAAAAAAAAAAAACTAAGGCACGGAAAACGAATCTCTATAACATGACACGGTCACTTTTCCTACAACATAACTTTTATAAAATCCAATTTTTTTTACCTAAAAACTTTCATCTATAAAATCACATATTTGTGATAAAGAGCGAAAAATTTTGAGTTCTCACAGCAGCCGCCAGCCGGGTCATCTCATGAAAAACAATTGAGAGAAATAAAAAAAAAAATCCAGTCACCTTAAACTCTACGCAATAATGGCATTAAAACATTATTACTGTTTCTAGGGGTGTCAATATAGGTTTTGACACGTGGATCGACCCGCGACACGACACGAAAAATCGTATTCGGGTTGACCCGTAAAAAAATTCGTGTCGTGTTCGTGTTTATGAATTCGTGTTCGTGTCGACCCGTATTTTTTTTTAATTATTTTTTTAAATTTTTTTTATTTTCGATATATTTTTTAAATTTTTTTTATCAATTACCGTTTTGACCCCTATTTTGCGTGTTATTCATGTCGTGTCGTGTCAACCCTCAAAAAATTCGTGTCGTGTCAGTGTTGAAGATTTTGACACGAATAAAAATTCGTATCATGTTCGTGTTGATGTATTCGTGTCGTGTCGAATTCGTGTCGTGTCAACCCGTTTTGACACCCCTAACTGTTTCCATATTAAGTGACTGCACTATCTTATATAATAGAAGGGTTTTATAAGTGTTATGTTGTAGGAAAAATGATTGTGTTATGTTATAGAGATTCGTTTTGCGTGCCATAGTTTTTCTTTTTTCTTCAAAACATGCGGGTCCCACAAAATGTTGTGTGTGTAGGAAACTTTGTGTGATCATGTTAAATGATAAATACAAACCCCATAATAGAAATATACCAAAATCATGGTTCTACTAATTGAAATATTGCATTACATATTATTGTTTGTGGATCTTGTTATTGAGTGGCCTCAAATCACATTATCCAAATTTTACATTTGCATAAACCCTAGATATTATGTTTTAAAAAAATTTCACATGTCCTTTTTAGTAATTTTGTATATAAAAAGTGTTTTTTTATTTTAACATACAAAACACTTTTTTATATTAAAATAATTTTTAGATTATACATCCAAATGCAAAATAACTTTATCTTTTAAAAAAAGTTCTTTAAAAAAATGCATAATTTTTTTTTTCAAAAGCCTATCCAAACAGGCCCTAAGGGTGAATAGAAAAAGTTGCACGATATGATTTGCTGATAAATGTTCAATCCAACACTTATATTGAAATTGAGGTCATAGGTTCATTTCCCTAGGATAACACTTCCATGCAATATTATTAAACTCATTTTGGTCATTGACTCGGTGGAGGGACTGGGTCACTAGCTCAACCAATGAGTTACTAGTTGAACTGTATGACCGATAAGTATATGTAATTCTATAATTTATATTAAAAAAACTATAAACATACTCAAATGCTTGTGAATAATGATATCAGTTTCAAATATTCTAATATGAAAAAGTAATAAATCACATAATATTATCTAACGAACAAAAAAATACATAATACTTGACTTGTCTTCAAACATTTAACATCTACCACAAGTGAAATCCAGATGAAATCTTGACGATTCATTAATTTATCATGTTAATTATACTTTTATCTTATTTTATAAACTTCTTAAATTAAAAAAAAAAAAACTAAAATGATCTTCTTATATTTATAAGCATTTTATTGAAAAAAAAATTATGAACCGAGCTGGATAATCGGTTGAACCAGTTGGGTTACCGATTTTCACCAAAATTGACTGGATTTCACTTGTTTGCACCGGTTCCATTGCTTGGCTGATCCGTTATTTCACCTAGACCGATTATATGACCGGTTTACCGGTTCCTGAATTGACCCTATCAGATCGTTTGGGTTTGTGAACACTGCTTCAACGGCTTATAATTTACAATTTAAAATATTTTTTTAATTTAAATAAGCAATTTTATATTTAATATATATAAAAATAGCACACTAAATAGTCGGGTTGGGAGAAACTTACTTCCCAACGCATTTAAAAAAAAAAAAAAGAGTATAGAGAAATACAAATTAAAATGGAAAATTTAAAAAAAAAGAAAAAGAAAAGGTAGGTATTTTAGAAAATAAAAATAAATTTTTCTCTAATAGGCAACTGATCATATGCTAGAAAGCGGTTTTGGTAAGATTTACACATGCAAGCCTCCAAGTTAGGGGAGAAATTAAACCAGGTCAATATGTATTTGATAATGATTGCAAAGCTGCCCCTTTTTCTGCAGTGGGTACACCGCTTTCCTCATGAAAAGATCTCGAATATTATGCTTTATTGCCTGTCATGCATGCAATTAATCTGAGTTCCCTCGGACTCAAGCTAGGGGTATGAGGTATCCTCATCTTTACGTAATATGGGTAACTAACCTTACAACGACTACATGCAGTTGAGAAAAAAATGCTAATCAAATAATAAGGAAAAAAAATAAAAAGCTTAGAGTAAATTTTCATAAAGTTAACGAAGGGAAAGAAAACATAGTGATAACTTGTGCTTCATAGATTGGAATTAATCAAATGAAAAGTCCGAGTTACGTACAAGACGCGAAACTTAGACATTTGTTTAGATGAAAACAAAATTGTAAAGTCATTTTTCACCATATAGAATGCAAGAAGATCTTGCAGTATCGCTATATTAATTCGTCCTTTCATTTTCCCCATGTTGTATTGCTTTTTTTTACTTGTGTGGATGGATTTACTATACATCCTTCTTAATAAAAATAAGAAGGAAATAAATTGTATTATTATTACGTCTTTCTAGATTGGTAAGCATGTGACTTGTGCCAACTGCATATTAGGCGAAAGTCAGTATACTATATGTCATATGATATGACTCTGACTTTATTACGTGTGTTTCCTCCAGAAGAACCTTTCCATTAAGCCAATAGTACTAGTTCTCCCAGTGGTTGAATTCAACAGCAATAATAAGAAAGATTCGTTTCATTTTGAAAAGAAATCCAACTAAACTCGGGTACCTGAAATTCAATGGTATATTTAATATCCGCAATTCCGCGCATCCTACGGAACAGAAAATCTCCTTTGTTTTCTGAAAGAAAAAAAATGATATATTATACTTAGGAAATGTTATCTTATTATAAGATAACATTTCCTAATTCTTATTACTATTTTTTCTTCCAATTCTTATTATCAATTTTGTTATTATTAAATTAAAATTAAATCAATGGTTATAAAATAATATCAAGTGAGAGTCATTAATTATATATTACCAACTTTATTATCATAAGATCAAAATTAAATCAATAATCATAAAATAAATTCAAATGAGAATTGTTGATTTAATTTTGATTCAACAATATAGTAAATATAACCTCCGCATTTCAAAAATTAATGATCTTTTCAGCACTACGTATAAAGCTTGAGGTCACATTCAAAGATATGTATATTATTTTTTTTTAATTTCTCCACGGTTAAGCTGTTGTTCAAAAATATGTATTTTAACAATAGTTTAAATAATCTTAAATACTTTTGGTTCTACAAAAAATAAATAAACCTGCCATCGTTATTTATTTATCAGTTACATCAAATTAATCTTTTATAATAATATTAATACCACCAATTAAAGGATATTAAAGTTGGAAAACATTTTCTAAGAGAATTGTTTTCTCCTATTAATAATCCTTTGATTTTCACGCAATATTTTCTTTTCTTTGTTTTACAATAGATGTGGACCCCATACAAAAAAAATACATCTATTATATTGTAAGGATCAATTTAATTTATTGTCATTTCAAACATCATGTGATGTTATTGACAAAACGTCACATTCATATATATAAAAGATGAATTTGATATATTTAATAATTAACATAAGATGAATGTAATACCATATATTTTTAAAGGACCAAAAATAGACATTTTTACTCTTAAAATTATTACATCTGTGCTTAAAACTAAATTTCGAAACCTCCAAAAAAAAAAAAAAAAAACTAAATTTCGAGAAGATAAATTGATAAAAATAAAACTTTTAATTAAGCCGCTTATGACTATTATAAGGAAACTAATAAACATGCATTCATTAATAGTTTGAGAGATGATGATGGGGCTCCATATTCTCAGATATCTGTTTCTAGAAAAGCCCAATGCCACAATATTAGCAAAATCCATAATAAATACTGATAACCATGGGTGCGGATTGAAATTGAACAACACAAATATTTCCAATTTTTTGATTAATAATCGATGCACTGGATCTTGTATTTTAGAGTTGAATCATGATACCCATCTTATATCCTCCGTGATTCAGGAACAAAGCCATGGCTGATAAACTCCGTAGTCTCTCTCTACAGAAAAATGTTAGCCATGATGCTTTATGCATGAATCTGAATGAGCTATGATCCCGAAAGGACTCTGGATAAGGTACTTTGTAGCGATGACACTGAATCAATAGCAGATTTTGTAAGCCAGCTGATCCCCACTTTAAGCCTATGTTCATCTGTCGGTAACCTGATCAAATAAGCTATCTTCCTCGCTGCAAAAATAGAAAAGTTCAAACCTGTTTTTCTTCTTTTCTTTTTCTTTTAGTATAGATAACGAGCATAATGAAGAGGAGCCCAGAGACCAACTTACCAGTATGACCAATAGGACCTTCTAAGGTTAGCCCCTCAACAAAACTCGGAGAAATGGCAGCATCATTTCTTCCCAGGGTCATCATCTCACCTAGATTCTGAAACCTGGCAGCCAGATTAGGACGAAACATCGTGTTAGGAGCGTGTAGATTACAGAATAATTAAACAGTTTTATTTGCAAATAATAATCTTCTCAATGAAATAATACCTAAATGGCAAAAGCGGACGCCCATTGATTGCAGCCCACAGATTCCAACCAGTAAAGTCAGCTTGCTGAAAAGCAACCTGCAAGGTAAAGGAAAACAGTCAGCAAACAAAGATGATGATATCCTCAAAATTTATATATACGTCGTAGTACCATCACATAGGCTATCTATCAAGCAGGAGTTACACCTGTGCAGTGGCTGGAAGGATCCTTCCATTTGAATCCCTTAATGCAGAAGAGTCACCAAGAGCAAATATCCGTGGGTGACCCTTAACACGAAGAGTTTCATCTGTTTCAGCTTGTCCCCGGGCATTAAGTGGAATTACAAATGGTGCATCAGAAGGTTCCAGCTGAGGAAGAGGAGGTTTGGATCCAACAGTCCACAGTACCAGATCTGCTTCAATGATTTTACTTTGCACTTCCCTTTCAGCAGGTTGCAGCTCCAATATATATTTCTCAAAATCATGTACTACAAGGCAATTTTCATCTACCCCTGTCAGGGTATCTGAAGACTCCAATTCACTGACCCTCCGAATACAGCGGACAAAATAGCCCAATAAAAGTTCGACCTTCCTGGATGAAAGAACCTATCATCCATAACATAATGCTTCCTTTCAGAAACCATAAGCATTACTTGCAATAACATTGGTAACAGAATTTGAGGACTTAAATTGAATGGTGTGTGAACACTACAACTGCCATAGTTGAGTAGTTGCGTGCTGGAGAAGCTTTAAGATTGAAAGCAGGACTTCAAGTAAATGGTTTAAGAAGTATTCCATTTTTCAATTTCATTTTGTAGCATTCAATTGTGGCTAATGCTCATATGGTTTCAAAGGTTTAAATTATTCAGAAATCTATTTAAAATGGGTGTTAGAGTGATAGTTAGAGAATAGGAGTTATTGAAATTACTACGAAGGAAATTTTGTAATTTCAAATTACTCAGAATTTCTTTCTTCAGAATATTTTAGGGAAAAATTAGGTTAAATTACAATGTAGGTCCCTATACTTTTTGCAAAAATTCATATAGGTCTGTATGGTTTAAAATTTGTGATTGAGTACCTATAATTAAGAAAAATAATTGGATCCCCATAGTGCTAAACAGTATGATAGAATTGGGGACAAATTAAAAAAATTAAAAACTATAAAGACCCAATTAAAAATTTCAAATTACAGGGATCTATTTGAATTCTTAAAAATTATGGGGGGCCTACAAAGTAATTAATAAAAAAACTATCAAGTTCTTCTAAGAAGATCAAACATGTTTTCTTACTCATCACCTATCTTATCAAGAAATTATTTTGAATCTTAACAATCTAAGTCCAACTAGAAATAGAAGCAACAAGACCTTAGTCCAGCTGACAGAAGGATAGAACTTTAAAATTCGACAAACATAATATAAGCAAGAATCATCTTGCCTTATACATAATCTTGGTTGCATTAAAGCAAGGATCATCTCGCCTTTGTATATAATCGGGTTACATTTCTTCAACCCAAACGATGAACAATCACATTTCAATTTAAGCATTTATATTTAAAGTCACTAGACAATTTAAATTTTATTTAACATCTCCCAAAATGGTTATACATAAAGCTCTAAACATCTGACTTTCCTCCATTAAATTTTATTCACATGAAATAGTATAGAATAAAATTTTAAAAAGCGGCATATCTCATTGCCTTGCACTAGAAGGAATACAAAGTCAACATCTCAGTGGACCATCACCTAATTGCATATGCCTTTCCAAGTTGTACCCAACAGATATTCAAGTTCCAATAAGCATATAATTTAAACTCTAAACAACTTACTTTTAGTGCAGCTTCCCTATTGCCAGGTGGGGCATTTGGGCAAATTGTTGTTGCAACATTAATTGCTCTCACAATCCCTCTATTCTGTAATCGCTCTGCTACAGTTGCAGCTAACTCAACTCCGGAGTACCCACACCCAACAACAGCAACACTAATCTGGAAGTCCTTACCAAAGGTCTTTCTCTCTAATGTTGTTAACTTATTGTTAACTTTCTGCCACAATAAACCAGAATGTAAAATCAATGAAGTATAAAATTTGCAAGATAAAGATTGAACTACTAGTCCCAATATATTTGATAATTGATTGACCCTATCATTCACTCACAAGTGCATCCTCTAGTGTTGAGAAAGGAATTGCAAATTCAGCCGCCCCTGGTACAACATCCAGTTTAGCTTCAGCTCCCAATGCAAGAACCAGCCTGGCTGTCCAGCGCAAAGAAATGAAAAAAGTTCAAATCAACGGACACAATGTAATTCCAAGTAAAATAACACTACCAATGTACTTCTTTTGACAATAAATGATTTCATTTTCCTTTTAAAGATGATTTAGGCACACAAAGGAACATTTCAGTATACTAAATATTATGACCTTGCCCATACATCCTAATTAGCATTTCGAAGCATAAACTTGAGCATGGTAACAAGAAAATAACAGATATAATACATGACTAGCAGGCCACCCATCGTTTACAAATTGAAGAAAATAGGTTAATATGCAGAACAAAAAACCAGAGAAAAATACATCATCTTAAGCAGTATATAAAACAAAATTGTTGCCAGGATACACTGAGATACTTATATAGTGTAGATAATACCAGTCATATTCAATAAGAAGGCCACTTTCAAGATGAACAGTGCCTCCACAACTAGATGCTTTGGATCCATTCATTCCCCAATGATCAGAGGGATGCAAGAACTTTACTCTGTCTTTGAAAAACTGTACACTAGTGTTTGCCAGCAAATCTGAGAAACGGGGAGCTATTTCCCATTCATCCACTTCTGTATGTCATAATGTAATTCTGCTGAATCATCTTTGAAATAAAGAAGAAAACTGCAGTAGTTTCTTAGGTATAATGCTGCAAACCTCCAGTGAGAAGCTCATACAACATTGGCTTGAAAACAAAACGTTCAGACTGGTCGACAAGAGCAATCTGTTCCATATCCAATAAAGAAAATTTTCTTATCAAAACATCTCCAAGTAAACAAAATGTACAGAAAACAATTAAGTCACAGGACAAGGATATAAGACATCATAATGATAGTTGTATAAACACTTTGCAAGAAGAACAAAATAATTTCCGATCAGAACAGCCATTTACAAATGTTAAGGTACTGCTGTAATTCCTTTTCTCTTTAAATCCATTAGTGAATGTACTTAGACATCCTTCATCCAAGAAAAGGCTCCGAAATTCCTTCTACCGTGGCTTTTGCATCAACTTCCATTGAATTGAAAGGACATAATTTGGGGTTATCCTGAGCTAAGAAATGTAAAGGCACGCACTATAACTTAGCAGCTTTAGGCTAAGAAATACAATAACTGAACATAAGGGAGGCAACTTTAGCAAGTGTAAGACAATAAATGAGTAGTTAATAAGTCAAAATACCAGTGATTTATAATGGACATAAAGCTGAACATAAGGGAGGTAACTTTAGCAAGTGTAAGACAAGAAATGAGTAGTTAATAAGTCAAAATAACAGTGATTTATAGTGGACTTATCTTTTAGTGTTATCGTTGGTTCACGAAAATTAGAAGCATAGTTTATGTTATAACTGTAGTAAGTTGGTGGGAGATGATAAACAGAGAAATGTAAGGAAAAACTGCAGCAGGGGTATTGTTAAGGGTGGCTACATGGTTGACTAGACAATTATCACAGATAGAACTGCATGGTGAGATGAATCTATGCATCAATTAGTAGAGTAAAGGATTAATTTTCAACAAGAAATCTTAATTTTATTATGTCATTGTCCTTGACATGTAAACATAATGCAAAAAGGCAACATTCATTCAAATGTGGGAAATGCATTTGGTTAGCACATTAAGTAAGTCTCATATGAAGGATCAAGCAATCTGTCCAACAAATGACTTGAGCAAGAAACTGTCAAAATGATATGCAAAAGTTGAATAAAAAGAGGGGGGGGAAAATCGTGATTACATGCATTTTACACGTCCATTGCATTAAAACATAAATAAATAAACAAGTACAGAGACAGACAATATGAACACAAGCAATCGCCAAGAGTTTCAATGCCTATCAAACCAAGAGACATTAATGCTCTAAGAAACTTGCTATTTGACATGAAAATTGACATGAAACATCACAAGGGAGTTTAATATTGAATGACAACTTACCTGTGGTTTCTTATCGTCAGGCCACTCGAGTGACTCCAACCTTAAAGCAGTATATAAACCACCAAATCCACCGCCTAATATGCAAACCCTAGGCTTCTGCAAGCAAGGAGATAAGTTCTTGTTAATTTTATACATGTTATTTCAAACATAAACCGGGAATGCAAGTTTCCCCAGCCAAATCACAAATGAAGGCAAACTCTATACAAATCCGATACCGGAAGAGAAAAAGCAACGTTTAGAAACCTTGTTATCAGACCACACGAAATTCGCGGGTGCTTTTTCGGTTTCAGATATCTCGGCCCCAACACCTCCATTGCCGCCATTTTCCCCCGAAGCAAGAAACCGCAATTGCAACCGTTTCCGAGGAGAATTTGCGACCAAGGATGAATTGGTTCCCCTGCTTCTCCAACAACTCGGAAATAGCGTGCTCCATTGCTTCGCGCGGCCTGAAACCGCCAAAAAAAATTGCTGATGCGACGGCAGCGAATGGATAGTAATTATTAAATGAGGAAAAACCACAAAGAATTTCCGTCACTTTTTTCACAGATTCCAAACAAGGAGTGTATGTGAGTCAGATGATAAATAAATATCATAAAAACAAGCAGATAGAAGAAGAAGAAGAATAGAGAGAGCATACGGTGAGACGCCACGACGGTGGCGGTGGCTGATGCAGTTAAAGCAATGTGCGACATTCTGATCTGAGGGGAAAAAAAAAACAGATTGAACTAAATTCAAAATTGAGTCACTGTAATTAAATTAGGGTTGATTTTGTACGCCGAAGGAAGCAGAAACAGAGATAGAGCATGAAGGAAACAAACACTAGAGAATAGAGTCAGCGAAGGTAAGTGTTGGTTGCAAGTTGCAACCTATATGGCTGTTCTGCTTCCACGCTTTCTCCCAGTTATCAACTGTTGCTACCAAAATGTTATTTATATCATTATCAGTTTTTATATTCCTTCTTTTTTTTAGCTTAATGTTTCTGACTTACAGGTAATAAATTTATTTTCTACATATTTTTAATTTATGTAAAAAAAAATGAATTTCACATCTTTTTTCTTTAATATAAGAAACACTACGTAACCTTTCTTTTTTACAATTAAATCAAAGAAATGTACAGTACATCTGCTAAAAGAACAGAAATGTACATTACAAAGTTACAATGCGCTTTTCTTCATCTTTTTATTCCAATTAAGAGAACCTAATGATTTTTAATACCAAGTTAATATTTCAATATACAGATATTTATTAAATTTAACTTTTATTACTACTTTAATTTTTTATAATGATAAATATAGTAACGTTTTATGATTGAAAGCTTTTAAAAGACTAATATTATGATACACTTTTTTAAAAATAAGATCAACACAATATTTTTTAAAAATAATAACACGTTTATTTTAAAAGAATATTGAAAGTTTACAAAAATTAATAATCTACAAAAATAATTTCTCTCATCAATATTTAAAAATAAGAGAAAGAATCCGTTTACAAACTTTTTTTACAAAATTTTGTAAATTACATTATATACTCCCATAAAAACATAATATAACTAATATTCTTCCAAAAAAATAAAACGTAATTTGTAAGAATTTATAAACAGAAATTTTGTAAATATAACCCTACCTAAAAATAAATACTACCGACTCGATCAAACTAGAGGTCTCTCCAAGACTCCAACTTGTTAATCATTTTTTTTTCGTTAAAATATATTCTGCTAGTTTGTCGGGAATACTTGTTTTCAAGTTGATTATTGATATTTTATTTTATTTTCGTTAGAAACATGTTGTTAATTCTAAACATTATGAAAAGGATCCCGGCAAAAAAATTTATTTATTGTAGTTTTGAAAATAATTACGGATCTATTGCACAATGTGACGCTTTTTTTGGGCGTCACATGTGACGTCTCATTTAGGCGTCTCTCACCAAGGGAAGACGCCCCAATGAGGCGTCTCTCATGAGATGTTGACACGTGTCATTTCTCTCTCCAAAAAAATAATAATTTAATCATAAAACTTATGAAGGCCATAACTTTTGACTCGGGTATCCAATTCAGGTAATTCTTTTTTTGATTCCACATAACTTTTTGATATCTACGCAATGACATCTCATTTGATATATTTTATTTCTCACAAACATAATTTAAATTTACAAGAATGGTATTATAAGAGCGTTTAAATCCACAAGCCTCTGAGTACTAGATTTGTGATTTAATATAAAAAAATAATCCAATTCAGGTAATTTTTTTTTTGATTCCACATAACTTTTCGAGATCTACGCAATGACATCCCATTTGATATATTTTATTTCTCACAAACATAATTTAAATTTGCAAGAATGGTATTATAAGAGCGTTTAAATCCACAAGCCTCTGAGTACTAAATTTGTGATTTAATAAAAAAAATAAAGATTTAGTTTGTGATTTAAATTTAAAAAAAAAACACATTTTTTAATTTTTAATATAAAAAATAAATAAAGTTTTGGTTTGTGATTTAAATTTAAAAAAATCTAAAAAATTATCATTAATAAGGAAAACAAAATAAAGATTTGATTTGTGACTTAAACTCAAAAATCAATTTGAAAAATCTGTATAATAAAAAATAATTAAATAAATATTATAAATCTAAGAAGGATTTTATTTTTGAAAACCATTCAAAAGCTATAATTTAAATGGCTTGAAAGTAAAAAGTCATAAAACAGAAGGATGTAACTTATGATACCGTATGATTCAAGATACGAAAAATCAACCAAACGATACACAATACGAATTTCGGTTCAATAACATTGTACACTATTTTTTTTTTTCAAACACTTGGTTTTGGTGTGTTTGGTGTTGATTCGGAAAGAACTAAGAGACTTTTAGGTTTAAACGCTCGTATAGTACCATTCTTGCAAATTTAAATTATGTTTGTGAGAAATAAAATATATCAAATGAGATGTCATTACGTAGATCTCGAAAAGTTATGTGGAATCAAAAAAAGAATTACCTGAATTGGATACCCGAGTCAAAAATTATGGCATTCAGAAGTTTTATGATTAAATTATTATTTTTTTGGAGAGAGAAATGACACGTGTCAACACCTCATGAGAGACGCCCCATTGGGGCGTCTTCCCTTGGTGAGAGACGCCTAAATGAGGCGTCACATGTGACGCCCAAAAAAGGCGTCACATTGTGCAATAGATCTGTAAATACTCCCCAAACTGCAATAAATACGTAATTATTTAATTAAATTACAATAAATAAATTTTTTTGCCAAAGGATCCCAGCTGATAGAACGCCATGAGCTTCACTTATGTGGTCAATAGAAGCTGGTAAATTAATTGCTATTTTATTATTTTTTTGCAAAATTCTGAAAAGGTATATGATTAGATTTTCTGGGAACAGAATTATTTAAATAATTGATTATCTTTATAATCAATGATAATAAAGGAATAAGTTATTCTGTCTATTCTTATTTTGCCTATCTCTCTCAACACCATTAGATTACAATCTCATCTAACGATGGAGATTTGCAGAATAAAATAAACTTTTTTCCCTTTTCTTTCTCCTCACTATTTTTCACATTCTTTCTCTCTCCTCCTCTTTCTCTCTATCGATTTACGTAATTTATAACCTGAATTTATATTTAAATCTAAATTCATACAATGATTAATAGCATGATAGTTCTGGTGGATGAGTATAATTTTCAAAATTTCTTAAATCTGGTATAATTGAACACAACAGAAATCACAAAATTACAAAAAAAACGAAAACCACAAATAACCCTTCATTTGAATTAATTCACAATTACCGTAACGTTTATACTTTGTTGTTGAAATTTGAAACGAATCAACTTATCTACTTCTTCTTATCTTGTTTTTTACCTTAAAATGGGGAAAGAATCTCTGTTCTCTCCATGTTACGCCTAACAACAGGCCTACCTGATTCCATAATACAGGGCCTCTTATATCTTAATTTTTATGTAAATGCTCATAACAATAGCTGGGTTGAATGAATTGAGAAAAATGTTGGTACCTGTTTTTGATGCTGAAGTGCCACTTAAGAAAGAGAAAAGGGTAAAAGAGTTTATTTTATATCGTAAATCTTCACATTTGATGAGATTGCAATCTAACGATATTGAAAGGGATAGGAAAAATAAGAGTAGACAGAATAACTTATCCCCGTAATAAAATAAGGTTCGTGTTTAGATGTGTTTGCAGAAAAATGATTTTAAGATAAGTTGTTTTGTTTAAATTGTCCAGAAAAACCATTTTATATATAAAGAAGGGGAAAATATTTGTATTTTTAAATGACACAACTTGTGTTATTTTACTGTCATAAAGAGGTGAGATCTACACTTTTTTTGTCCATTTTTTCTTTCGTGAGATCTACCTCTTTCTCTCATTTAAAATAATATAACTTTAAATTTTAAAATAACACATACTTTTCCCCGTAAAGAATAGATAGTTGTTGCTTTTTGGGGCCTTGCTTACTAAAAAATAAAAAATGGTCAGTTGATGGAGAATGAACAATGGAATAGGCATAGTTCAGTAATGTTATATGTGTATGCCTTTTGTATTTAGTTTCACTTCCCAATTATTTTTCTGACTTTTTACTTTTTCGTCACACCACAGCTCAGTATATCACACATTAAGCAAAGAAAAAACAAAAATCCAAAACAATAAGGGTGTGTTTGGTAGAAGATTTTGTTAAGGATAGATAGGGAAATGAAAGTGGTATTTTTGGATGTCCTTGTTTGGTATCATGTTTTAAAATTTTTTGCTAGGAAACTCATTTGCCTAGTATTTGTTTTTTGTGTGTAAAAAACATTGTTGAATAATATCATCTACAAGGTGGTATTTGCTGCTAGATGGAAAAATCCAAAAAGGATTGCAAGCAAGGAGACCAAAATGACCCTGATGTTTGGGAAAACTACAACAAACTAAAACCATATTTTCTCATTTTATTTTAGTCAAGGGTTGTTGTGGTAATTTAACCATATTTTCCCACCTATATTTTACCTTCAACCAAACATAGACTTATAAAATTCTATCCAATTTCTCCGGTAAAATTTTGGCCAACCAAACAACTTTTTTTTTAATTTCCTACTAAACTTCATTTCCCACCATGTCCCTAGTAATTACATTTTCCTAGTAAAAAAAAATTCTCCTCTACCAAATGCACCCTAAGGGGAAAGGAAGGGGGAAATAAGAGGAAAAAAAAGGCTTTTATGGGAGCCCAACAAATATTAAGATATAAGAGTAAATTTCTAGAAATGAGTATATATTTCCTCTACTTAAATTAAAATGATATAGACTCACATTGAATTAAAATTAAAGAAATAGGTAAAGAGGCATGCCCCAGCCTTTTTCAGTCTCTATTGATATTTAATTTTGGACAAGTGTGTTATTTAATCTTTTCCGAAGGACTTCTTTGTTATAGTGCATTGATTTAGGTTATCCCATTTGGAGTTGAAATAAAATGAGGTTTTTGTTGTGAGGATCTGTTAGACATTACCACTGGGGAGTGGGACACCCCCTCATAAGGAGCTTTCTTCGAGAAGATGTGGTTCAGGTCATTCGAGCTATCCCCCCAAGCTCAATAAAGGACAGGATCAGCTCATCTGGAAAAATGAAATTGGAGATGATAGATTAGTGAAAAACGTCTATAACTCAATTATGGGGTTCAAATACTTAGCTACCAATAGGAAATGGAACTCGATTTGGAAATGGCATGGTCCTCTCAAAGTGGGATCTTTTGCTTGGTTTGTTTTCCATGATAAACTTCTCACGAAAGAAATAACTGCTTTGTGGGGAGAAGATGCCCACCGCCATAAATGCACCAATACGGTTGAAGACACTCTTCACGTTTTGAGGGACTGCCCATTAGCTATGCAGGTGTGGAAATAGTGGTTTAAGAATAATGTTCCAGGAGATTTCCACACGCTAAACTCGGAGGAGTGGCTGATGAAGAACTTGGAGGAAGGGTGGAATTGCAAGCCCATCTTTAGATGGGTTGACATCTTTTTTACGTCTATTTGGCATCTGTGGCTCTGGAGAAATATGAAGATTCATAGCCTTCAGGAAAGCCGTCCTCCTAATCCAATCCTGGTTATTTCAATGTACATCAGTGACGTAAACTTAGCCTTGGAAAACACCTCGCCTCCGCCCACGGTTGGGTCCATTGAAAGGTGGAGCCCTTCTCCTCCAGGGTGGTGGAAACTAAACGTCGATGGGGCTGTCAAGATCAATCACAAGGAAGCTTCGTGTGGAGGGTTGATCAGAAAAGAGGATGGGGTGTGGGTGTCTGGTTTCTATTATCGGATTAGTAGCTGCTCCCCGTTAGTAGATGAGTTTTAGGCTACGCTTAAAGGTCTGCAACTTGCCTTGGTAGAAGGAGCTCACCATCTAATTGTGGAGAGCGACTCTCCTTTAGCAATAGAGGCTATCAACTCAAACGATAGAAAAGGCACTCAAACTCAGTTAGTGAAAAGCATCAAAGAATGGAGAAAGGAGGATTGACATCTCAGATTCACTCATGTTGTCAGGAGAAGGAACAAATGCAATGACTTTCTAGCGAAAAGCAACATCACAAGGGAGGAGAATATGATTATCTACAAGGATCCCCCGCTGGGGATTGGGCCGCTTCTGGCCTTGATGTCTGGTTGTTAGCCTTTTTGTTTCTTGGGGCTTTGCCCGGAAAGAGGGCGTTTGGTTGAGGAATTTTTTTTGGAATAGTAGGGAAATGTAATAGATAGAGAAATGATTGGAAAAATAGATAAAGTGAGATAGGTAGAAAAATGTAAAAAAAAGTTGTTTGGTAGGAAAAAATTTTACTGGGAAAATTAGGTAACTTTATGAAATCAACAGTGCATTAAAAACCAGATAACCGGTTTTTCGAAAAATCTCACCTTCAAATTGAGTTTCTAAACAGTGCGGATATCTATGTTTCTCATAAATCTACACAAATTGGATAGATGAGTTTTTGGTGAAAATACGTTGAAACAAACATGGTGTTTTTAAAAGTCATACTTGAGAAACATAGATATCCGCTGAAAAGCTCCCAACCAAACACCACCTAAGGATAAAAAAAAACCAATTGTTCCTTTTGAGTGTTTAAAAAAATTTCAGCAGAGTAGTTGATGACCAAACATGAGTCACGCTCAATCATAATTGTATATGCAATTCTTTCAACCCTATCTGTTTAATTTTTATATTTCATTTGTACTGATTTTTAATTTTACAGCATTTTATATTGAATCCAAATAATTAATTCACTCCCTCTTAATTTTTTTTATGTATAATGTAACACATGAAATTCATTTTTATTTTATTTCACGTAGTATCACACTGAGATCAATGTAATTTTTGTTCATCACTTTTTAAAATCAATTTAAGGTCATTTACAAAAATAATAATTACAAACTAACGTCATTGTAACTTAATGACATGGGTTTTTAAAATATTTATTATATCGGTGACCAATATCCTAATTGGTCCTAGAAAAAGAACTGCAAATGTTTAACGATGGTGTTCAATATCCATCCTTCATGAATGTTCAAACTAATAAAATAAAAGAAACCTTAGAAAAACTAAATAAAAATACGGTATATTCTAAACCAAAAAAATTAAAAAAATACCGGTATATTCCTTACTAAAAGTGCTATTCAATAAATTTGAAATCGGGTACGTGATAGTATCTTTCTTCCATATAAGGTAGGAAGTGATCTACGTAGGATCAGTAGTTTTCGTTCTTTAGCTTTGTCCTCATTTTTTATTTTTATTTTGTATCGAAAGGAAAACAGATACTTAGCACATAAGAAAATTGAATTTTTTTTTTTTTTTGAGTTACCAAACCCTAATTTGATCTTCATAAACAAAATAATTTAATCAAAATACATGAAAAAAAAAACAAAAGATCAAAAGATAATTATTCTAAAATACCTAAACTTCATTTTTTGATATATATACTTGTTTTTAATTTATGTTCAATTTTATGAATATATTTAGTTCAAAGAAAAATAAAAAAACATGTCATGACTTAATTCCATTCTTACATGTATTAATAATGTAGTTATTTTGAAGTGAAATGTACCTTTATGTTACATAAGAATATCTGCGTACTCATTTATTTTTTAAAGGAAAGGATATTATAATATTACTACTAATCAATTTTATATTTTATTGATTCAACGATTATATTTATTTCTATCTTTGTATGGTTACGATTTCTTATATTTAATACTTTATATTTATTTCTATATTTGTATGATTATGATTTTCTATATTTAATGTTTTTACATTAAATACGAGATAGAAATAAATATAATCATTAGATCAACATAGTCGATCTAACGATGTGATTGAGTAATGATAATATTGAAATTAATCCTAATTGATTGTTATAGGATATATATTTTTTATATTAAAAGTAATGGGCCCACAAAAACATGTCAAATTTACTTTTCTCCGGGAGTGAAAAGGAAGCCCCTATTTTGAGTATCCCGTTGAAACAAGGCCTTACGAAATGCGTTGAGGTCACGGTGATCGAACGCAAGAGGGATGGGAGATGGCAGCGGCGGCGGTAGCCGGTGGAACAAGGCGGAGTGGGTGCAGCAGTATGATCTGATAGGGAAGATTGGTGAAGGCACGTACGGCCTCGTCTTCCTCGCTAAGATCAAGTCACAGTCTCCAAGAAAATCCATCGCCATCAAGAAATTCAAGCAGTCTAAGGATGGCGACGGCGTCTCTCCCACCGCCATCCGCGAAATCATGGTGTTCACTTCTTCTTCTTTTCATTTTTCAATGCAATCTTTCCACTGTTGCTTGGTTCTTGTTTACTTTACTCTTTTTTTTTTTTGTCTCTTGACGATGCAGTTACTGAGGGAAATAGCGCACGAGAACGTTGTCAAGCTTGTCAATGTTCACATCAATCAAGCCGACATGTCTCTCTATCTCGCTTTTGATTATGCTGAACACGATCTTTATGTCAGTAATATTATTCATTGTATGACTATAACGTGCGTTTTGTAACTTAGAACATTTAGCATTTTGGTTCAGTATAAAATAAACTGTTGTGTTGAATATTGCAGGAAATAATTAGACATCATAGGGACAAACTCAACCATTCCATTAATCAATACACTGTTAAATCGTTACTGTGGCAGTTGCTCAATGGACTAAACTATCTGCATAGGTGACAATCCTTTTTTTGTGAAGTTGATCATGATTCCTCTTCTTTTCTTTCTTTCTTTCTGGCTCTTTTTAAATGGACTTAATATATTGTATTTTTTTGGTAGTAATTGGATGATACATCGAGATTTAAAGCCATCAAATATATTGGTATGATTTTTGATACCTTATCACTGTGTACTGATTAGTTCTTTTATTGCTATATGTAGCCACTTGTATCTCAATTTTTCAACTTTTGATTAGTGACTTCTTTAAGTGAATTTTCTTTGACCAGGTTATGGGTGAAGGAGAGGAACACGGAGTTGTTAAAATTGCTGACTTTGGACTTGCAAGGATATATCACGCTCCTTTGAAGCCATTATCTGAAAATGGGGTATGACTGTATGATGAGGAATCATTTTCATTGTTACCCACTTGTATTATATGCATCATTTCATTGGTAGGTTCGAGAAATCTTCATGCATATTTTTTTACTAAATATGGTATTCTTTGAAATTAAGAAAACAAAGTGTGGGTAAGCATATATTATAGACAGGAAAAAATTATTTTTAAGGTGCATACCATCTCAGCTTTCTGTTAAAGGAATGATGAGTGTTGTTAATTTCAAGTTTACCTTCTTGAACTACCTAGTCTGCTAGCCTTCTCTAGTCTTTTGATTCCCCACATGTGGGTTGCTTAAACATGGATTGCCTCTTCTCATCTTTTGCACTCACTTAGCTCTGCACCCGTACTACTTTTTAGCTTGTCATCTGTTTTATTGTTTAATTTTGTGAATAAATGAGATGCTAACATGCAGGTTGTTGTAACCATTTGGTACCGTGCACCTGAGTTGCTTCTTGGAGCAAAACATTATACCAGTGCTGTTGGTATCCCTTTATTTTAAGTTTTACTTTCTTTATGTGCTGGATAGTTAAGGTGGTATGTATAAAATTTCATTGTTGATATTTGCCAGTCAAGAATCACACTTCTGTGCTGTGGCATAGTTAACTTCAGAGTTACATGTTTCTTGGTTCTGTTTCTTGGTTTTGTTGTTATCCCTAGTTTGACTCGAGATAGTTGCTTGAATGAGCTATATTTCACTGAATTGGAGATGTCAAAGTATTGACATAGGATTGAAAATTTTAATTTATTCATGTGCATTTGGGGTAGCTTTCCACTATGGTACATGTAATCCATAATTAAACTTATCAACAGTGTACAATAATTGAATGCGTCCGTAGATTCTAATTATAAAAGTTGCCCGGTCATTTTTCCTTAAATACACATTTAGATATGTGGGCTGTGGGATGCATTTTTGCTGAGTTGTTGACCTTGAAGCCACTATTTCAAGGGGCAGAAGTCAAAGCTACATCAAATCCCTTTCAGGTACTTGATTCAATTGCATATATCTTTCTGACTCTGTAGTTGAATATTGTTACCATTGGTTTAGTTTTCTTTTGGTTGGTGTTGAATGTCCTTTTCTGGATTTTATATGATTGTTATTCCACTTGTGCAGCTCGACCAACTTGACAAGATATTCAAGGTTTTAGGTAATTTATCTGCTTACCGTTTTTCCTTTTCCCTGCTGGGGGACGTCCATTCTATTGATGAATATTCTAGAGCTACATCACAGGACCTTGTTACTGTGCCAGGCCATCCCACATTAGAAAAGTGGCCTTGCTTAGCAAATCTTCCATACTGGCAACAAGATCTGCAACATATACAAGGACACAAATAGTAAGATCTTTTGATATTTATTTAGGTGATATGCTGTCATTATTATTGTGTTTATACAATTATATGTAGGAATGACTTATTCCTTTAGCATCTAGTCCTTTTTTGCTTCCTGCTTTACTTACACATTCTTCCTTTAAAATTAAATTAATGATTTTTTTCCTTCCAATAAATTGATGGATTTGCTCTTCTGCTGTTTGTGTAAAGTGACAACACCAGCCTCTATAATGCTGTACACCTACCTCCAAAAAGTCCTGCATATGACCTCTTGTCAAAGATGCTTGAGTAAGTTTTTTCTTCCAAGATTTTGATTTTTTCTTTTCTTTTTGCTATGCCTATGCAAAAAATGAAAAATGGCGTGTTTCATTTTTCATTAAGTAATACAAAATTGACCACAGGGTGGAGTGAGATCACTTTTATATACTGGTGACAACCCCTCTCCAATATTGATGGGGTCATTGGGGTGGATAAATGGGTCAGACTTCCTTTCCTTGTCCAGGGGTTAACACGTAAAGAATGGGTTTGGGATTTTTATTACTTTTACTTCTAACTATATCTTTACCTCCTATTATCCCTGTAAACTTCTTGTTGCTTTTATAGTTATGGAACACAAGCTTTTCAGCCTCAATCTACACTAGTCATTCTGTTGAATTAATCTACTCAGAAATCTTTATAATCTAGAAAGACTCTGATGTTGCTACTTTTCTTGTAAATTATTCACCGCATGAAAAGAGTCTATCAGGCATTAAAATTCTAGGAATTTGTTGATATCGACATAGAATTCAAGGGTCATCTCTACTACCCTAAATAAGTAGGAAAAACATATCAATCGCAGCAAGATAAATGCTTGTTCCTCGATTACACGATGAACATGATTCTTCAATGTAGGAATATTTGGTGGGGGTTCCTCTTGCCTAATTTCACTGAAACAAAGAGTCACCTAAACAAAGTTATCAAATGTGGATTGCGGCCTGTCGCGGTCAACCCTGAAAAACGCTATAGTGCTATAGTGGGTTGCGGTTGTGGAAATAGTGCAATGGATCAACCGATCAATAGAACCTAGATATAACCACACATATACATGCTAAAAAATAAAGACATTCATTCATAATAAATAATTGTTCCAAAACAAACATGAATTCCAAATAGTCAATTAAAAGGTTCTAAATATTGTCAATATCCAAAACATAACAATATCCAAAACATATTCCATTCCATTTCCATATTTGAATATCAAAAAGAACTAATCAGAACCTTGAATTCCACCATCACTGAAGTTTGCTTTAGCCTTACTGTCACTAATTTCACCATCCTTAACACACTCACAAGAGGCCCTATAGGGTTAAGACAATAAATGACATCATTCCAAATAGATGTACTGAGTTCAATATCAGTTGCCCTTTTCCCCTCAGGGTCTTTGGTAGTCGTAGATTTCGACCATTCGTTAGAAGTGAACATCCTTTGGAGGTTGTTATTTTGCTTATCATACTTGTGAATAGCGTCGCTTTAGCGGAGTTGTGTTGCGGTGCAGCGGCTGGCCGTCATAGACCGCCCCGCAACGGTTAGGCAAAGTGTAGCGAATGTAGCGGCCCCTATTGCGGCTATTGCGCTGCAGTAGTTTCTGCAAAAGTGTTCTCATCGTAGAAGAAAGAGAGCGTGTTGAGCGAAGACAAGAGATCAGGGCTGTCGATCCTCGATTCTAGAACCTTCTTCAGCTTCTGAGACAAACCTGGCGCCAGACCCGCCATCGTCGTTCCCATTCTCTTCTTCCTCTTCTTGTCCGATCTGTGTTCAAATCTTTGATCTAACTAAGTGTCTTCTTCGGTTCTATAAATTTTGTTCAATAAACCCGGTCTGATCTGTGGTGGGTTCCGGTTTAACGTGGTTGTTTTGAATATTGGCCTCAGTTTAATTGGGCTGGGTTGTCAACTAAATTTTTGTTGTTGTTGCGAAAAGCCCAGTTGCATTAACACTTTTCACTCAATGTGCGTGGTAGGGGTGGCAAAATGGATTGGCCCGCCCCGTCCCGTCTCTTGAATGTGGGTTGAAAACCCCAACCCGCCCCGTTTTATGGTGGGTTGGCGGGTCAACTCCTTTAAAAAAAAAATTAATTATATTTTATTAATATTATAATATTACTTATTTTCACATAACATTCCCCTTAGTTTTTTTCCAATCTTAAGTCTAAATGTATGCTAATATCTAGTCAGATATCTTTACAAACTTATTTTTATCTCCATACATAGATTACCTTTGTCATAAATAAAATTTTTCTTCTTTATTTTTTCTAAAGAGTACTAAGATAACAAAAAATTTGATATCACAAAAGCTTAAAAACAAATAAAATACTACCTATAGTAAAAAAAATAAAATAAGAAATAGACCTGGCGGGCCAACCCTCCGCCAACCCGTTTTGACCTACAACCCAACGGGTCGGGTTGGTGGGTTGAAATATGTAATCCAACCCGTGCTGTTTTGGCGGCTTGACCCGTCGGGTTCAACTCATATTACCACCTCTAGTGCATGGCCCAATTATATAAGAAAATAAGATGTCACATTGTATTTTTTTTTGGTAAGGTCATTGTATTTAATGTAGAGTATGTTTGGTTTTTGAAAATATTTTTTATGTTCATTAATTAATAGAAAAATATCATGTTACTTTTATTTTTTAAATAATTTTACTTGAAATAATAGAAAAAATAAATTAACCTTATTATTTGTAAAAATATTTACAACTTTCACTTTTAGGTAGATCAAGGTTTGTTACAAATTAATTTGCTATAAATAATCAAGGTTTGTCTACAAATTAATCTTACTATAAATAAGGATCTTTGCAAAAGAAGAGATTTACAACTTAGATAAAAGTGAAAGTGAAGATGAAGATTTGGATGTTCATGATTTCAATTATGATTAGTTCCTTAAGTTCTTTGATTTTGAAATTTCACTTAAGTGGCAATTTGGATTTTGACTAATTTTGCCACTTTATTTTGTTATGTTACATTATTTGAGACTTTAATTCCTTCAATTTGCTTATGATTTATATTTTAATGTTTGAGTTCGAGATCCTTCAAATTTGTTTTTTGTCACATTTTCGTATTTTAAGTTTTATATTTTTGGAGTACAATTTAGTGTATCACTTAGGTATACTTTGCACAGCAGCGTTGTAGCGCTACATGCTACAGAGCTATAGTAGTTTGGAGGGTCAGCCCCTACGTGCCGCTATCCGAGATTAATAAGTATGCTGCTTATACAACCTTTGCAATGTTAGGAATTTTGTAGCAAACCTTGTCACTTCATGCCTCACCAATTCTGTTTTGCTTGTGAACTTCCGCATAGTATTCAGTGCCAATGAATGTTATAAATGAAATCCACTAGACTGATGCCTCTTTTTATTGTCCTCTTCACTCTATCAAGTTTTCCAATGTCTTCTAACATCAAGTCCAAGCAATGTGCAACATATGGAGTTCAAAACAATTGAGGCCTCTTGGCTTGTAAAAATTTCCCTAAATAAAAAAATGAGTCACAAACATGGTAGTCAAGAGCACTGCTTTTGTGCCACGACCCGCACCATTCGTGCATTGTGGTGCCTCGTCGCTAAGAACCGCTCCAGAACACAATAGTGGCCACAGCGGCTGCATTTAAGGTAAAATCGTAGGTGAATTGCGGCATAATCATGGCCCAGTTGTGGGCATGGGGCAAAATACAAATTTGCCCTTATTTTAAAGATGTAACAGAAAATTTTTAAGAGCAGTATAATCTTTTTGGGGTTTAACACTCCCTCCCTCACTCCCTCTGTGCGAAACAAAACGACTCAGCTTCCTTGCTCTCTCTCGAGCGTTTGCTCTTTTGCACTCGCTCTGTATAATAAAACAAAACGATTCCCTCTTCCTTGCTCTCTCTCTCGCACACATTTACAGGTATTTTTTATGGCCTCTTTTTTTTCTTTTTTTCTTGGAATCTATTTTTTACCTATGTTTTTTTTCTAGGTTCTATTTGTTCTTTCTTGCCTCCTTTATTTTTTTGGCTTCTTTTTTTCTTTTTTTTGGGTACTATTTGTTCTTGCCTTTTTTTTTCCCTGGCTTCTTTGATTTTTTTCTTGCCTTTATTTTTTTTCCCTAAATTCAATTTTTTACTTCTGGCCTTTGTTCTTTATCAAATAACTTTGTTTTCACCATGTCTGTTTCAATGTTTGTCATTTTTTTTTGTTTTTTTAATAACTTTAAAAATAACTTAATATAGTTGAAAAAAAATTTCAATATTATTGTGTAACAAATAACTTTGGTTTTCACATAAACTTACTGTTGATTGTTAACTAAATCTTTTTTTAAATTCAGCCTACCATCATTTTATTTTTGTTAAAAGATGGCAGCCAATGACAACACACAACGGTCTCCTTCTTGTGCTTTGGTTAAACCCCCGGGTCCATATCGTCATATAGCATGGCTTTGGAACGTGACCTGTGACTTCTATCAGAAGACAACAACAGATGGAAGTACCTGGACTAAATACCACCAAATGGGAATAAAGGGAGATGTAGAGCCATGTAAGAACCCCCGCGTGCGCGCGGAAGTAAGAAATGCTTTGAAGGAAGCATATGAGAAAAAGCTAGCTGATAAAAATGCTTCTCTAAATGAGCTATAAGAACATGATGATGAGCTTGAAGAGATGGAAGAAATCCATAACCTTCGAACTGGAAAAAGGGGAGTAACATACTGTAGTGATTCCTTTGTTGTTCCTAGCAAGAACGGAAAACTGTGAAAGGTATTGAAAAAGGTTTTTATTTCCTATTAATTAGGAATAATTAAGATTAATTAGGATTGATTGTTTTTTATTTCCTATTAATTAGGATTAATTGTAATTGATTAGGATTAATTGTGATTAGGTTTAGTGAGTCATAGCTGAGTCATTCTTATGATTGTGATTAGGTTTGGTGAGTCATAGCTGAGTCATGCTTAGCTATTTTTTCTTGTATAAATACTCCTCATTCCTCATGTAATTATTCAAATCAATATACTGAAAACCTTTTTCAATATGGTATCAGAGCCTCACCGTCCCCCGCTTTAAAAAGTGGAATTAAAAATAAAAAAAAGCACAAAAAGGTAAACCAAAAATGGGCCTGTGCAATTTCCACGCTTCTATGAACCTTGAGGTCACCACCCCACAAATATGTTAAGAACCTTGAGGTCACCACCCCAAAAGCTAGCTCAAGGGGTGGGAGTGCCCAAGGCCTTATAAAGGCCATATTAGTTGCCCATCCAATCAATTGGGATTATATATCTCAACAC